GGGGGGGGGGGGATTTCAAAAATCTTATACAAAAAAATTTCGCACAAAGATTATAATTTCTCCAAAGTAGATATTATTGGAAATAATTTGAAAAACGTCGAGACCCTATATATCTCTAAATTATTATGATTGTCATTTATTAACATTTTTCTATGAATTATAGGAGGAGTTTGTGATTATGTGGATAGATATAGCCGAGGAGTGGTTAGAACCAGTTATAATATTTCACTCAGGTAATTTTATCTATATATACACTTTGCTTGTCTGTCACCCAGTCTGTCTGTTATGGTGTTTGTTTGTCTGTTTAAGAAAGCTCTTCGCTCATATGTATAAAAAAATTTGTATGCATATACAGGGTGAGTAAAAAAAAGTGTGATTTGCGGCGCCTGGTGGGAAATTGTACCTTTTTTGTGCAACTCTCCAGTATTGTGTTTTTTAAAAAATATGTTTTGAAAATTTGTAACTTTATTTGGTACTCCAATGGCCCAAAAAAATCTGCGAACCTTTTTTCTCTCAAAATCAAAAGTTCAGAAAAGCAAAAATGTGTATGAATAAATAATTTCTATCGAAATCTAAAATTTTTAAAAGATTGAATCACAGAATCACAGAAAATTCGCAATTTTTAGTTTCGGTCTAATTTTCAAGGAAAAATTATTTAAATTCTCTAGTTCCTTTCTTCTTGGTATATTCTTAAGTATGAAATATACGTTGCTTAGTTAAAACCTTAAGAACCATTGTAAAACAATTTTTCCGTTATTGAGGGTCAGTCTAATTTCACTATTTATAACCCTACTGGTTAAAGGGAGGCGAAAATACTTTACGTCGTTTATATTAAGTTTAAACTTATAAAAAGTACATATTAAAGAAAATCCCAAATATGCTGGATGGAAGATGATCATTCGAAAGAATGCGGGAATTTCATAGCAAAAAATTCGCAAGCTTTGTCCGGAAAAAAATGTCGACATTCATTAGGTTTGAAAATGATCCTATTTAAAAAGATAAATCTGCGAAAATGTATCGGTTCTTTTTGACTATAGTATTTGTCTATTTTCAAAACAAGGGGGGAGAGGGGGGGGGGACATATACAGCTCATAAAAATATCCTGGTAAACATTTCCCCCTTTACTCAACATTTTTTGTAACACTTTCATCAATCTTGCTTGCCTTTTCATTAAGTTACTTTTTTTTCTGTAAAGGTTCCGATTAACTTAAAAAAGAATTTGTCCTTAGTTTTAGTTGTATTTAGTTTCAAGTTAGATTTTAGATATTCAAGCTTTATTGGGGGGCTTTTCATATTCTTGCGAAATATTCTGAAAAAAAACTTTGAATTAAGGAAACCAGAACAAAAATGTACAAAATATTTCAAACATTTTGAATAGCAACCCTTAACAAGTGAGTGTTAAAATATGATTAATTATTTAAAATTTATATTTTTGTGTAGACCGGAGGAAGGCGAAAAATGTGCTGTGCAATGGGTAGATTCTCAGGTGATACAAATTGACATTTATTCATTTATTCATTTATTTATTTATTTATTTATTCATTTATTCAACCTTATATATTAGCATAATAATTTACACGTAAATGTATTTATGCCTTCAATAACGTATACAGTCATCTTGATATAAATTATGGTGGATATCTGTTTTTATAGTTTTATCTGATGTCTGGAATCGATTGGGGAATGAAGCTTTAAAATAATTATATGAATATAATTAAATTGTCAGATCAAAGAATTTTCTTTAATAAGATTTTCTGAGCTCCAAGTTATAATCCAATTGTAAGGAATTAGAAGGCTTAACCTTGAGGTTTTAAGAATTTTAAACTAACTTTGTTAAATCCTCAGAGTAAACAGTAAACATATTTAATTCTCTTGTCTTGGTATTCATTAGCATTTTCCTGTAACACAAGCGTATACTCTATATCTGTCCTAGTGGCTTCTCTATCTATAAAATATCCTCTTTATTTTTCGATTATCCTCTGTTTCTGTCTATTATTATGTGTCTGAAATATAATACTTTCAGCTTGAGTTTGGTGAACGACTGTCAAAATGACAGTTTAGCTGTGATTGCTCAAAACTGTAACCATTTACGAAGCTTAGATATTAGCAGTAGTGGAGCTATTACCGACCAGGTGAGATAAATTTCAGAGAAAACAAATAATTAAACTTAATTGGAAATGTACGATTTTATCAAAATCAACTAATATAAAGATAAAACTAACCTTCTTTTAGTAAAGTTACTAAGATTAATAAAACTACTAAGATTAATAAAACTACTAAGATTAATAAAACTACTAAGATTAATAAAACTACTAAGATTAATAAAACTACTAAGATTAATAAAACTACTAAGATTAAAGGAAAATTTGTTCATCCTTTTTTCATCTTTCCACCCAGCCATTTATTTATTTTCCTCTAAAGATCATTGTGTTCCCCAATTCCGCGAATACAACTCAAAAAAATAAACATACCTAACTTCTGGGTGAAAAATGATTTCCAAAAGAGAGAGAGGATGGGGGATGATTTTTTAAGAAAATAAACATCCCTGTTAAAACAAATGAAGGATTTCGACGTGTATAACTATACAGCAGAGGTATAGTTTCTGAAATACTACTTCCCCCCGGCCCTGGAGTTATTGAATTTTATTAAGATTTGTGGAAATGAAAAGCTAGACATCAACTAAATGAGTATAGCAATTTTTAATGTTTTATAAAGGTGAAAATGAGTGATTTTTAGAAGAAACTGTTTTCTTTGGAATATAGAATGAAAAAGGACAAAAAAATATTTCTCCCAATATTCCACTTCTTCCTTTAATTAAATTTCAGAGAATTTTTTTGGCATGCTTAATCACAATTTTTTGTTCTTAGGTATATAAAAATTTCTTTTTTGTTATACCCACGCAAAAACAACAAGTTTCTTTAGCCCTGTTAAAATACCTCATACCCAAAAATTTATTGTATCATTTCATAAAAAATTATTTGTTTCCCAAAAATGCAGTACTAAAAAATTCTTTGTTTGCCACTACATGCAAAAATGTCAATTGCTGGGGGAAAAATTGATTTTCTAAGAGTGAAGGAGGTGGGTGCTTATTGGATTTTCGACAAATACAAGCTCAATTCAAGGTAGGATATTGAATATAAGCTCAATACAAGGCAGACTATTGAATACAAGCTCAATACAAGATAGGATATTGAATGCAAGCTCAAAATAAGATAGGATATTGAATTCAAGCTCAATACAAGGTAGATTATAGAATTCAAGCTCAATACAAGGTAGGATATTGAATTCAAGCTCAACGCAAGGTAGGATACAAGCTCAATACAAGGTAGGATATTAAATACATATATAAGATAGGATATTGAATATTAGCTCATGGGAGGATATTAATAAGCTCAACACAAGGTACGATATTGAAAACGAGCTCAATTCAAGGTTGAGTGCAAGCTTAATACAAGGTAGTATATTAAATACAAGCTCAATACAAAGTAGGATATTATATAAAAGCTCAATACAAGGTAGGATATTAAATACAAGCTCAACACAAGGTAGGATATTGAATAAAAGCTCAATACAAGGCAGACTATTGAATACAAGCTCAATATAAGGCAGACTATTGAATACAAGCTCAATATAAGGTAGGATATTACATACAAGCTCAACACAAGGTAAGATATTGAATACAAGCTCAATACAAGGCAGACTATTGAATACAAGCTCAATATAAGGCAGACTATCGAATACAAGCTCAATACAAGGTAGGATATTAAATACAAGCTCAACACAAGGTAGGATATTGAATACAAGCTTAATACAAGGTAGGATATTGAATACAAGCTCAATACAAGGTAGGATATTGAATACAAGCTCAATTCAAGGTTGAATGCAAGCTTAATACTAGGTGGTATATTGAATGCAAGCTTATTACCAGGTAGGATATTAAATACAAGCTCAATTCAAGGTTGGATGTTGAATACAAGCTCAATGCAAGGTTGAATATTGAATACAAATAGGAAATTGAATACAAGCTAAATACAAGATAGGCCCATGCATTCAAATATGGATATTGAATACAAGTTCAAACCTAGTTTTTCAACTAACAATTCTACAATAAAAAGTTCCTATTTTACTTTAAAAAGAAATTTTAGAGTATTTGCACTGAACATAGCAAAATTCCGCAGATTTGTTGAGATAAATATTTAGAATAAGGCTTCTCATAGCTCAATGTCCAGCTCAGCCTTACCTCTTTTTCAATTTTCAATTTAGAGTGCATTTTTGTGGGTGATTTTTAATTATCAACTTTAGCTCTTTTCAGTTTGGTTTATCATATTTTAAATAATCTTTGTTCTGTTTGTTAGGATATGCTCAACTTCTGTTAGGATTACCAGTGCTCCAAAGTGTGGGGAGATGTGATTCCTTTGGTCAGGTTCTTGAATATATCAGTAAACACAGGTATGTTCATTGCAGTTCAAGCCGATATAAAGCAGGGGTGTATAAATTCGTTTTAATGCAGGATAAAAAAAACATGTTAAACATTTCATAACAAATATGATAAAAGAATACTCATTACTCAATAATTTTTCCAAATAGACAAACCCACTAAAAAATTTCTCAAAGCCAGCCCCTTAAGAATAATGATGGGAAATGAATTCCAAGAAACAATATAGTTCTTGAGTGACAAATATTCAATCCAGACTATTTTGCCATTGCCACCATACCGTTACCCAAAGTTTAAAAGAAAATTTCCCTGTGGCGCCATTTATGCTTTTCAGAATGCATAGGCATAATAGTGCACCTCAATATAGATAATAAACAATGATGTCTTTTTAATTATCAAATTTAGGATGGGGGGGGGGGGGAAAAAAAAAAATGGGAATTATATAATCTCCTGATTTAAAGTTTGGCATTAAAGAATAACAACAGTCAACGGTCCCTTTATTCTTGGCAGAAGCATGTAAAGAACTTCGTAACCTTTATTTTCGATAAATAATATTTTTAGTCTTCTTTATTGTCACTGAGTGATGTAAATTGTGAATCATGTTTGCCACTGTTAATGAAGTAGAGGCTCAAGAGGTTGAAAGCTCAATTTATTAAAAATTAAGTATTCGGATAAAATCTTGTAAATATGTTTAAATATAAATCTTCTCTTGTTTTTAGGGGTTTTTTTCTTTTCAGAATTATTTGTTTTTCAATTTTAATTTTTCTGTGAATTCGAATATATTTTTCTCCGGACAAAATTATTAATAAAATATTTCTTTTAGTTATATTTTCCTTGAACGAAATCTAAAGTTCTTTGATGTATTTAGCATTTAAAAAAAAAGAAAATGAATTTTTTTAAAACTCTTTGCTGTAAAAAACCGAATTGGTCAAAAGTAATCTCTATCTGTAGAATGCACAACTTCAAAGATTTCTAATTTTTGTAATATTGTTTTCCCACGAATTTAATACTAAGCAGACATTAACTAAAAGAATTGAGTAATCGTCACAAATTTAATATTCTAATCTCCTTTTTGAAACCTGATGTCGTAATGCTTATATTGTTATAAACTTAGATTATTTGATCAACAGAATTCATAGTTAAATGTCTCTATATAAGGTCTACGACATTGGGTTGCGAAGATATAAGATATAAGGATTAGAAAGACTCAATTCCAAAATATTGCAAATCATTTAGTGTTTATTTAACCTGATCTAAGTTATCTCTGAATCCTTGTCAGATACAGATTATTGTATTTCATAGAGTTCTTGTATAACAGAACTCACCATTATTACTTTCTAGACTTCTCTTACAAAATAAAAAAAAACACATTATTTATTAGAAAATAAAATGTAAAATTTTGTCAAAAGAGATTAAATCTTCCTCGACCCCAACTAGTCTTCTTTATTTTTACAAACTATTCTTTAATGTTTATATTTAGTTATTATATGATAAAAGTTTTCATATGAACATATATATATATAAACTATTTTCTGGTTGTCTGTCTGTTTGGATATTTTTATGTCCGATCATAACTCTTAAAACCCGTGACCATTCAACTTAGAAGTTTTTAACCAGCTTGAAACATAACACATTTATTTACGTGGTTCCAACGAGTTCCCTAATCAAATTTGAAACAAATCGGTTTAAGGGTTCAGGAATTATGATCGGGAATACAAACATACAAACAGAGGTCACTGCTTAATTTATACTAGCTGAAGTGCCCGGCGTTGCCCATTCAAAAAAAAGAATTTTTAAGAAAATAATTCTTTCCCATGGGTTGCCTAAAAAACGTAGCCAATTTAGTGAATCCGTTTGGCCAGCTATAACTAACATATTAATTAAGCGAAGAGCTTAATTATAGATATAGATCTAAAATGTGCTCAATTGCTAAAATGTGGTCATAACTTAAATTATATATTTATTTAGGAATACAGAATTGATTCTTCCAATACAATCCCTACACAGTCGTGATATGAACCTCGAGCATCTAGAATTATTTGTCAGGTATAGAGTTAAAAATATATTTTTTGTTTGTTTGTTATTTGGCCATTCTTTCATCTTAATTTAAATTGTAAAACTCAAAGTTTTGCGGATTTTTTTGTAAAAATTTATAGATTTTTGAAATTTTTAGAATCGACATGATTTCCTTTTGGGCGTCCATAAACCTTTTCTAGGGTCTTTTAGGTTGTTGCAAACAATATGGCCCGATTGGTTCAGCCGTTTTGACCTTTCTTGTATACACACAGGCAGAAAAACGAGAAAAAATTTATGTTCAGATTCTGAACATGAGCGTATTCTAATTGTATCTATGCTAATGTTACTGGTTTTCCGGCAATAACACTTATTTATACATAAAGTAGTAATCTATGTTTGTTTTTATTAGTTTGTTTGTTTGTTTTAGTAGTAATCTATGTTTGTTTGAAAATATCTAATTACTTTAATTAAATTGTAATAATGCAATTATAACTCGTGAACACCTTGACCGATTTCCAGTGGAACCCCTGGAACGTTATTGTGTATAGAAAACTCTAAAGTTGAGTAATGAATACTCTTTGTACACTATATAAAAAAAGTTCGCGGATTTGAAAAATAAACTGCGCATTTTCAAATTTTTAGAAAAATCAAAACATTTCGGACACAAATTTTTGTAATTTTGAGCATCTATAAACCTTCCCTGGGGTCATTTGTGGTCCGACACAAAATTTGGGCCCTATTTGTTGAGCTGCTTTGACGTTTATTGGATACAAACGGAAAAACAGATAGACTAGCAAAGTATATTTGTTGATGTCCTGTCCAGGTTTTGTCCTGGAGCTAAGCATGTGAACCTGTATGTGGATGAGGATGGACATCTGCTCACCCCGCTCACTAGGCTGACCTGCCTACAGGAGCTCAAACTTCTAGGAACTAAACTCATTCAGTCAATAGGCACAAAAACAAAATTGTTATCTTTATATATATAAAGTTGTAATCTCTGTTTCATAAATCAAGAACCTATGGACTGATTTGCTTCAAATTTTGATTGGGAAACTCGGGAGACCTATGGGAATGTTCATATCTTAGTTTTGAGATTCTATATCGGCTTTAAAGACAGAAAACTACTTTTCAAAATTGTAATACATTAAAAAAAGTAATTTTTGTGTGAGATGGCAATAATCTACATTCTACAATGCTAAAAATCCAAAACTAGGGATTGATGATGATCCAAACGGTTAAACCTCAAAAAAATAATTTAGTAGGTGGTCTATAGTTCAACTTTTTGAACATATATTTCCCTGTGGCGGACAAGTCGTCGTACTCTCCGCCGTAATGTCTGCAAGTATCTACCTGATCTAAACTCATGTAATATATATATAAATCGCCATTTTTAGATTGAGGTTTTTTTTGTTCTATTTTCATGTAAAAATATACTAGTTGTTTTTTGACTTTCGTCTTTTATTTAGCCGTCGCTAAATCTGGTGACCCCGACGTGATTCAACTCCGTACGAATGACTATCAGAGGTTCGAGAGTTTGATTTCTCTACCACTCTCCGGCGATCAGAAACCGTCTCACCTGATGAACAGGATGCTCGCCCTACTCCCGAAGGATTTCAAGCCTGGTTTTATCTTTCGAGGTTTGTTCCTTCGCCGTTTACCTGCAAATGTTCGTGCACACCTCCTACAGGAAGATATATCCGACCCTCGTGCTCTTAGTTTGAAGGCAGATGAATTTTACCACAACCTCGCCTCATCTTCAGTCAATGTTCTCGCCTCTGAAGAAACCCTGGATCCTCAGATTGTCAACGCTGTCAGGGGGCCAAGCAGCGCAAACAGAGATCGTCGTTCTAGTGTATCATCAAACACGTCTTCAGCTGCAACTAGTCGTCGTTCTGCTTCAGACCTTTGCTGGTATCATCGGACTCATGGAGAGAAAGCTACGAACTGCCGTAAACCCTGCTCCTGGTCGGGAAACTAGCTGGCCGGCGGGAGGAATCCTTTTCTCTTCCTGCCGGCGGTTCAAGGAGCTCCAGCCTTATTTATCTACAGGATTCATTGAGCAAACGTAAATTTCTGATAGACTCAGGAGCTTCAGTGTCCGTTTTCCCTTGTTCGAAGTCATCCAACAACAGTTCCAACTCTGACGTCAAGCTCCTCACCGCGGACGGATCCACCATGTACTGCAGCGGAACCCGGATTATTCCTCTTTGTTTTGGTTCCAAAAGTTATGATTGGGAATTTCATCTTGCTCCAGTGTCTGCTCCCATCCTTGGAGCTGATTTTCTCCGACATCATCATCTTCTGGTCGACATGGCCGGTGGCAGAGTTCTTGAATCCTCGTCTCTCAGCAGTGTCGGAGAAAGTTTTCTCTCTTCAGATGATCCTGGTTTCCTGAGGGCGGCTCTTCTTTCAACACCGGAATGCATTCGAGAGCTGTTATCAGATTTTCCAGATGTCCTCTCTTCAGACGGTTTCACAGCTTCTCCGCCTCGTCATGAAGTTCGTCACCATCTCCTCACTCAGCCTGGCCCCCCTGTCTTTGCTAAAGCTAGGAGATTGGATCCAGACAAGTTAGAGATCGCCAAGAAGGAGTTCGAATCCATGGAGAAGGCAGGCATTGTCAGACGGTCAACCTCTCCCTGGTCCAGCCCTCTCCACATGGTAAAGAAGAAGGATGGATCGTGGAGACCTTGTGGAGACTATCGCCGTCTCAACAACGTTACTGTTCCTGATAGGTATCCTTTGCCCAACATTGCTGATTTTTCTTCTCAAATCTCAGGTTCCAAAGTTTTTTCTAAACTCGACCTACAGAAGGGATATTATCAAGTTCCGATGGCTCCGGATGACATCAAGAAAACTGCAATCATCACTCCGTTCGGGATGTTTGAGTTCTTGCGTCTTCCTTTTGGACTTAGAAATGCTGGAAAAACTTTTCAACGACTCATGGATCAGGTTCTTGGAGGTTTACCTTACTGTTTTGTGTATGTGGATGATATCCTGGTTTTCAGCCCTGATCTCTCTTCTCATGTGGTTCATCTCCGGGAAGTTTTGGAGCTCTGCCGCCTTCATGGTCTCACTGTGGGTCTGCCTAAGTGTGTTTTTGCAGTGTCTGAGATCGAGTTCCTTGGTCACAACCTCACGAGCTCTGGATGCAAACCCCTGAGCAAGCACACATCTGCCATCAAGGAATTTCCTACTCAGACAGATAAACCTGCTCTCCAGAGATTTCTTGGTATGGTGAACTTTTATAGAAAATTCATCAAGGACGCTGCTCTCATCCTAGCTCCTCTCACCAACGCTCTAAAAGGTCCTGATAAGCAGTTAGTGTGGTCCTCAACAGTGGAATCCGCCTTCCTTCAAGCCAAGCGTCTTCTCTCCGCCGTGCCTACTCTAGTTCATCCAGCACCTGGTTCAGATTTGTCAGTGTCCGTGGATGCGTCCGAGTCTCATGTTGGAGCAGTTCTTCAGCAGCGAATGCAGGGAAGTTGGTGTCCTTTATCTTTCTACTCCAGGAAGCTGAACGATGCTGAAAGGAAGTACTCCACCTTCGACAGAGAACTTTTAGCTGCCTACTCCGCCATCCGCCATTTTCGCTTCATGCTCGAAGGTAGAAGTTTTACACTGTATACTGATCACAAACCTCTAACTTTTGCTATTTCCAGGACGTCTCCGCCCTGGTCCGCCCGTCAACAGCGTCATCTCTCTTACATCTCCGAGTTCACCTCCAGCATAGTTCACCTGCCTGGAGCGGAAAACTGCGTCGCCGATGCTCTGTCCCGACCTACAAGTTCCACGAGTTCACTCCCTCAGAGCAAGACAGCTGGGACTCAAACCCCAACACGTTCCCTTGAGTCCGTCCAGACTGTTTCTCCGGGTCCAGATTTAACTACAGTACCAGGTTTCAGTTTTGATCAATTAGCTGCTCTTCAATCCTCGTGTAGTTCCGTTCAATCTCTTCTCAACTCTGCTTCTCTCAAGATTATTTCCGTTCCCTACGGAACTACTGAAGTTTTATGTGATATTTCAACTGGAGTTCCAAGACCCCTTGTTCCTTTTTCTCTCAGACGGAAGCTTTTCGACTTGCTGCACTCCACGACTCACCCTGGAATTCGAGGTTCTAAGAGATTGATTTCATCACGTTTTGTCTGGCCTAAGATGTCAAGTGAGATTGGTTCCTGGTCTAGATCTTGCTTGCAGTGTCAGCGGAGCAAGATCAGTTCTCATGTGAAGTCCAGTGTTCCTCAAATTCCAGTTCCTGGATGTCGTTTCTCCCATGTTCATATCGACATTGTTGGGCCTCTTCCATCAAGTCATGGTTTTTCATATCTGCTCACAATGATCGATAGAAGTATGAGATGGCCTGAGGTGGATCCATTATCTTCAATCACTGCTGAGTCCTGTGTACAAGCATTTATTTCAACCTGGGTCTCAAGGTTCGGCGTTCCTGACACTCTGACTTCAGATAGAGGAAGCCAGTTTATCTCCTCCATCTGGACTGCAGTTTGCAGAGAACTAGGAATCACGGTGTCCAGAACAACTTCTTATCATCCCCAGGCTAATGGTATGATAGAGCGTTTCCACAGAAGCTTGAAAGTTGCTCTCAGAGCTCGAGCAGCTGGTTCAAACTGGTTCCAACATCTGCCTCTGGTTCTTCTGGGACTTCGTACTGTTCCTAAAGAGGATACTGGTTATTGTTCAGCAGAAGCAGTTTACGGATCTGCTCTCAGCGTTCCAGGAGAGTTTCTGAGCGTTCCAGAGTTCCCACCAGATTCGTTCCTGAGGAAAATACAGTTAGCTTCATCAGGTTTCTCCGCCCCTCCACCTCATCACGTAGCTCCAGCTGCTCCTAAATCTCTACCAAACTCTCTTCTCCAAGCTGATTTTGTTTTTGTCTGTGAAGATGCTTCCGTTCCTGCCCTCTCTCCGTTATACAGAGGTCCTTATAAAGTACTGGAACGTCAGAGCAAATTCTTCCGCCTCCAGATGGGTGACAAAGTTGATGTGGTATCCGTTGACAGACTCAAACCAGTGATTTCCGACTCCACGATCGTTCCCGCCAGGCCTCCTGCTAATGGTCGTCCAACCCTCCGGCCTCAGAGTTCGAAAACAGATACATCCGCCTCAGTTCCGCCTCGAGTCGTCAGGAAGGTTCGTTTTCAAGTTCAGCCTGCAGTTCCTGTTCGCAGGAACCCTCACAGAACAGCAAGGAGTGATTCAAGAAACCTCGCCTCCGCCTTCAATCTCTCCGCCTTGGTTTCTGGGGGGAGTCCTGTGGCGGACAAGTCGTCCTACTTTCCGCCGTAATGTCTGCAACTACTGACCTGATCAAACTCATGTGATATATATATAGAGTCGCCATATTTGATATTTTATTTCTTTGTTTATTGAAAATGAAAATATAGTTAGTTGTTCTTAGACTTTTCGTCTTTTATTTAGCCGCCGCTAAAATGGTATATTTTCAGAATCTTTTTCCAATTCTTTTCTACATTATGCCAAAGTTTGATCCACAAAGAAGATCAAAAAAACGATTTTGGTTGGTTTTCATTTTTTAGTTGGATAAAATTATTGCATTGTTTTAATAAATACAATCTTTAACAAAAAACTGTTTTGAGATGTTGGATGTTGGCAAGGCTATAATGCAAGGAAAGTTAATTGCAGTTGCGCATACTTTAATTACACATTAAAACCAGTTCTCTCTGGGCGGAATTTGTAAACAAGAATAGATGCATCAGTTTCCTATGATCAGAATATTTTATTGATTTTTCATGTGAAAGATTGATCCCATGTCAGGCTTCGACATATGTCTTGTGTTTACATTACCGCCCAGAGACAGTACACTACAGTACAAAAGATGCGTACACCTCTGAAATAACTTTCCTTGCATTATAACCTTGGATAAGTTCCCCCCCCTCGGTTTATCAGTTACATTTCACACTATAGTAACTTTGAATATTGATTATTGAGTACAACTTTTTCTACCGTCCGGCATCCATCCATATATTGTTAGTGTTACTAACTGGTGTTGTATTTACATATGTAAGACTTTAATGTAATTCTGGTACCAAATGTTCTGGAAACCGGAAATTTCCAGAACGATTTTCCGGAAAATTTCCGGAACGATATTCCGGAACGTTCCGGAAATCGTTCCGGAATTCCGGTTTTCTGGAACCTTTTTCATAATGGAAATGGAAAAAATTTCCGGATCATTTCCGTACGTAAACCGTAACCCGGAATTCCGGTGGAAACCCTAATTTTTGCTTTCTGAATGGATTATAGATACAAAAAATCCGACCTCTCAACTTTTTAAAGTATGAAAGATTGTTGAGTCATGGATTCCTAATTTCCCTAGAAGAGAGTCAGATTTAATTTAGCATCCAACAGCTTTCTTGGGAATTTGCTAATTTAATATTATGGGATTTGAACTAAAGTTTAAATTTTATAAATGAGTTCCTTGTTAACAGCTTGCAACTTCTACAGTGATAGGGTTGACAGACTCCTCAGGAAATTCATAAATAAATTAAAGCAAAATAAAATATGAAAAGAAGAATTTGATATTAATGATATTTAGGAGAATTCAATCGATTATCTTTATTCATAAAGTAATAATCTCTGTTTGTATGTCCTATCACAACTCATGAACCCCTTGACCGAGTTGCCTCAAATTTTGACTATGAAACTCGAAATGTTCTTGGTTAAGAAATTATAAATTGAGTGGTTTACTTTTATGGGAAAAGTTTAGTTTATTAGTAAGCTTGGGGTTCTAAGCTATTATAAAAATATATTACATATAGATCTGAGGCCGAATTCGAAGAATTTAAACCGCGTCACTGAACCGCCAAAAACCGGTTTCAATTGAGCGCTGGCTCAAATCTCGAAACACTGAATACAATTTCAAGTGGAATTAACCATGTTTGAGCCGTGTCTAAAATGTAATCTGAGCTGAAAACTTTTGAATGGGATATCCTTAATCCTGATCGGATAATTAATCTGGAGATTAAAAATGAGAGGAGAACAAGCAATATTTAATCTGGAGATTAAGAAAAAGAGTGGATTAAGCATTAATCCCGATATCCACCATTCTAAAGTTTTCAGCTCTGTTGACTTAAATTCTTATAATTCGGCCTCCGGTTTAATACTGTCATAAACTTACTTCTTCCAAACCGCATTACCCCATCCAAAATTAGATGTGCTGTATAGAAATAAACTTGGTTTAGGTTTTGATCTGAATACGTTATAAATATATCATAAATATAATTCTAAAGTTAATTTAGAAAATACGATAAATAATCAAATTTGCGAACATGAAAGCTCGCTTATTCTAAAGCTAAGACATCTGGATCACTGTAAAATATTTTTTTCCGCCATTTAAGTCTTAAAGATTTATGACAACTGACAAACCCATAGTTAAGGTTTTTGGGCCTGAAATAGAAAATACCAGTTACAGAATTGAGTCATTATTCTTCAATCCCTTCCGAAAGTCCTGCATCTCCATTACAATACTTATTTTATGAATTGCAGGGAGCGAGGGTGTGAACTGACATTATTGCATTTAGAACATGTTGATCAACTTGACATGTCAGCACTATGTATCATAGCGGAGACATGCCCCTTACTCAGGTATACCTTGACATTCGGCACTTTTTATTTTGGACATGCCCCTTACTCAGGTATACCTTGGCATGTCGGCATTATGTATCATAGCTGAGACATGCCCCTTACTCAGGTATTCCTTAAGATGTCGGCCCTATGTATCAGCTGAGACATGCCCATTACTAAGGTATCTATGTATCGTAGCGGAGACATGCCCCTTACTCAGGTCACTCAGGTATACCTTGAAATGTCACCACTTTCTTTTATAGCTTAGATATGCTCTTACTCATCTAGGCATACCTTAACATGTCACTACTTAGTTTCAGAGCGGATACACGTCCCTTACTCAGCTTACTCAGATATAATTTTATATGTCAGCACGTTGCATCATAGTTGAAACATGACAGTTTCGTCCATGTATACTTAAACATGTCAGCGCTTTGCATAATAGTTGAAACATGTCAGTTTCGTCTGTATACTTAAACCTGTCAGCGCTTTGCATAATAGTTGAAACATGTCAGTTTCGTCTGTATACTTAAACATGTCAGCGCTTTGCATAATAGTTGAAACATGTCAGTTTCGTCTGTATACTTAAACATGTCAGCGCTTTGCATAATAGTTGAAACATGTCAGTTTCGTCTGTATACTTAAACATGTCAGCGCTTTGCATTATAGTTGGAACATTTTGTTAGGTATACTTTTAAACATGTCAGCAAGTTGTATCGTAGTTGACACATGTCAGTTTAGTATGTATATTTAAACCTGTCAGCGCTTTGAATCATAGTTGAAACATGTCACTTTCTCAGGCATACTCTGACATGTAAGTATTGTGTCTTAGCTGATATTGCATGTCCATTAGTCATTACTCTCATATGCTTGGAGTTTGGACATGTCAGAACTTGATATTTCGACATTTTCTATTTCTAGGGGAATATTACAGGAACTTACAGAACAAAAATATACTGCAGTTTCTGTGAGAAATGTAAACACACACACTGCTGCCCGAACTAAGCTTTGTTTACATTTCTGCCAGATACTGCGGTACACATCTATTTTTGGAAGTTCCTTTTATATCCCTTGCTTTCTACCATATTCTTGGTTTGATAGGCAAGTACACAATTTTGTGTGAAAACAAACCACACACAATCCGCTTTTCAGAACAAGGCAGTATTGACGGGGTGGGTACAAAACGTCAATTATCTAAACTATGATATTCGATATTTTGTATCATTGACGTTTTGTTATTCGACGTTTTGAAAATAGACGTTTTGTACCTACTCCATATTGACAATTGTTAAAATCATACATTAGTTTTAATCCGGTTTTAGAGTTTACTATAATATATGTTGGAGTAACTAAGAAATTGGCATTTACTCTGCTTGTTTACATTAAATTTAATTCATGCATAAAAACTATAAACTTCCCTTTTCATAATATGTTTGTGTTGCAGGAAGTTGGTGTTCTTCAGCTGTGATTTTGTTGAAAACTTTGGAAATTCAGAAAATAATCGAGAATTCAGGAAATTAATCTTTACTCATCCTTCCCGACTTACCTTTCTTTTTTCTCCTTAAAATTAGTTTTAAATTAGAAAATTTTCCTTTTTGGAAAAGAGTAATGGGGAAAAATTAAAAATGCGAAAATATACATTACAACTTTATTTTTTGATTTGATTAAAAATACTGATTGATTAACTGTACAGTACTGCACCGTTCCTCCATCTTGAAAGTATGGTTTGTGTTTCTGAATCTGCTCCCAACGTGATAGAGTTCCTTCTAATACACGCTTTAAATCTTCAGGTACATACTTCAAACCTCCAAGCATAGACCCAGAGTTCCTCTCTAAAACACGCTCCAAACCTCCAAGCATAGACCCAGAGTTTCTTTCTAGTCCTTCTTATACAGGATCCAAACCTCAAAGTATAGATTTAGAGTTCTTTTAAATCATCTCCAAACATAGACACAGAGATCCTTACAATTACATGGTACAGACCCAGAGAGCTTCTAACATTTGCTCCAAAGTCCCGAATTGAAAGCCCTAATAAAATTGTTTTCTTTAATTCCAAATTTTGACAAAAATTGGGAGACAACTTATTTTTGATAAGTACGAAATGTTTTAGGTCTAAATATACATCTCAGTGCTATTAATTCCTTCCTGTAGAGGTTTTATTACATCTGGTAAATCTATTAAAGGTCTAAAACCCCTGTTACAGCGACACTAAGAAGTTTCTTGAGTATTTATGAACTTGGTTCAGCTACATATTCTCTGAAACTGCATTATTTTGCCAAATAGTTGTAAACTTTAGCTATTTGTCTTCTCATATTATAAATTTAAAACTTCCTGGCAGTTCTATTGTTGAAATGTTAGAAAATACAAGAATAGAAAAGTTTTCTCTGAACCGATAAAATTTGTTAAATGAACAGTTAAAACAGTAAAAGGGACCAAATCATTTCAAAAATAATTTTTCTACAAATTAATTTTTTTATTTTGATTTTATGTACATCCTCTGCTGCTTTTATGATTATATTGTTTTCAGTATGTGTAGTTTGGTCCTATTCAGCTTTTATAAATAGATTGTTTTCAGTATGTAGAGTTTAGTCCTATCCAGCTTTTATAAATAGATTGTTTTCAGTATGTACACTGCACAGTTTGGTCCTATTCAGCTGTTATAAACAGATTGTTTTCATGATGTACAGTTTGGTCCTATCCAGCTTTTGTAAACAGATTGTTTTCAGTATGTACAGTTTGGTCCTATCCAGCTTTTGTAAACAGATTGTTTTCAGTATGTACAGTTTGGTCCTATTCAGCTGTTATAACGGGATTGTTTTCAGTATGTTCAGTTTGGTTCAACAGCCTGGTTTAATGATGCCATAGTTGGAAATGTACTTAGCAGGTTAAAAATAATACCACAGAACTCACAATATTTATATGCATATCCTTTCTTTCTTCCTTAGAAACTAATTAATCTGAATCCTGATAAATGTTTTTTAAGCTTTATTCATCTCTGATTGGAACATTGGCTGGCATTCATTTTTCCTTAATTCATAATATTTTGGATTCTTTGATTTCTATCAGTATAAGGAAAAAGATCATTAATAGGAAGATATCAACCAAATCAGCTAAAAACTTAACTTTTCCGATAATTAAAGGTCTTGTTTTAACCAGTGCTTAGGATGCGGATCGAATGGATCTGGAATTTGTTTGCCCCCCAGATCCGGATCTGCAAAAATATTTGCATCCAAAGACCCGGATTTAAGGGGGAAAATTCAATTTAAATCTTTTAAAAAGGATTTTACTGTTAGTCAATGGGAGATTATTAACAACGTCCTAATCTCTGAATGGTTCAACAAGTTTTAACATAAGAATAAGCTAAAAAAAAGAAAGAGAAATTTTTTTTGTTCAAATCATCAGTAAATCTTGAAGTAATGATCATTACCTGGATCTTTGTTTTTTTTTTCAGGGCAGATCCAGGATCCGGATCCAGATCAAAATGAAATTGATCCTATGCACTGGACATTCAACCTTAAATTTTTTAAATTTTGCATTTGCATTTGTTTTGGATCTACTCAAAAGAATAATCCTGATTGCAGAATTTGGATACCTCATCATAACTATAGTTAAATGTTATGCACAATTTTGACAAATTTTTGCAACAAAATTTTGGATTTACTGAATCTGCTTAATATTGCATATTATACAATACTATGCAGATGAAATGCATATATCTAGTATTTTTTAAAGAATGGTACGATATTTCAATATATCTAGAAATGCTCTGAAGAAAGTTGAAGAAATTAGAATCCTGAGATCCTACGAACTGAGTATGCAAGCTGTCAGGTTAAATCTTATAATATTTTCTACATAACAGGAAGAGAAGAGAAATACAAGAGAGAAAATGAAAATGTGAATTATAAAAAGAGATTTAGATAACTCCAGGGGTAAGGAACAAATAAAAAAGTGAAAGATATAGAATTCTTAAAAAAGATATGATATAAAAGAGCCATCAATTTTCATAAGAACTATAATGAGAATGAAAATTGAAAAAATAAAATAATGAATAAATATGAAAATAAAGAAAGTATTTAGATAAATAGATAAGCATAGAAAAACACCATATTAGAAAATAAGAAAGATATAAATCACAATTTAAAAAAAGCAAAAGCACTAACATTCATGAAAATTTAAGTTTGCAACTCAAAGAACTAAATCTCATGAGAAAAGAAAGTAAGAGAGTCAACAAGCTAAAATACAAATATCCAGGAAGAAAAAATAATTAGGAGAGATAGCTTTCCAAAGAACTAACAACCATGAAATTTTAAGAGGCTACATAACTAACAAGTGTGATAAAAGAAGGAAAGAGAGCTAGGTACAGAACTAACAAGTATAATAGAAGGAAAGAGAGCTAGCAAGCTACAGAACTAACATGTATGATACAAGAAGTAAAGAGAGCTAGCAAGCTACAGAACTAACAAGTATGATAAAAGAAGGAAAGAGAGCTAGCTAGGTACAGAACTAACATGTATGATAAAAGAAGTAAAGAGAGCTAGCTAGCTACAGAACTAACAAGTATGATAGAAGGAAAGAGAGCTTTCAAGCTACAGAACTAACATGTATGATAAAAGAAGGAAAGAGAGCTAGCTAGGTACAGAACTAACAAGTATAATAAAAGAAGGAAAGAGAGCTAGCTAGCTACAGAAATAACAAGCATGATAAAAGAAGGAAAGAGAGCTAGCTACAGAACTAACAAGTATGATAAAAGAAGGAAAGAGAGTTAGCTACAGAACTAACAATTATGATAGAAGGAAAGAGAGCTTGCAAGCTACAGAACTAACATGTATGATAAAAGAAGGAAAGAGAGCTAGCTAGCTACAGAACTAACAAGTATGATAAAAGAAGGAAAGAGAGAGTACTAACTACAGAACAAACATGTATGATAAAAAAGGAAAGAGAGCTAGCTAGGTACAGAACTAACAAGTATGATAAAAGAAGGAAAGAGAGCTAGCTAACTACAGAACTAACAAGTATGATAATAGAAAGAAAGAGAGCTAGCTAACTACAGAACTAACAGGCATGATAAAAGAAGAAAAGAGAGCTAGCAAGCTACAGAACTAACAAGTATGATAAAAGAAGGAAAGAGGGCTAGCTAGGTACAGAACTAACAAGCATGATAAAAGAAGGATAGAGTACTAGCTAGTTAGTTATAGAAATGACAGCCATAAAAAGAAAGCTTGCATAATTGCTAGAATAATCAAGAAAAGTAATAAAGCTAACAATTAAAAGAACTAGCAAGCAACTTTCTTTTTTATTTGTTTGTTATTTGTTTGTAAATGAACTGTTTAATTAATTAATTAATTAATTGGATCAGGTCCCTGATAAACGAGTGCCCAAACTTGAAAGTTCTGGCTGAGATGGATGGATGGGAAGGAATAGGTAAAAGTAGAAAACTTAAAACTTTTCAATCTAATCTTAGAAAACTGAAATTTAAGGCCCCAAAACTTTTTCGATCAACTACAGGGGCTTTGTTTGGATCTTCGTAAATTTTATTTTATTTCTGGGTTCATCATGAATGTTTTTCCGACAAATATATTGTTTTCAAGAAATTACAAAAGAAGAATTGTAATTATTTTACGAGTTTAGTCAGTTTTCAACTACTAGGGATATGTTGTTATCACAGACTAGATATATACAGACAGACTGCAAATAGGCTCAGCCTATGGTTGTAATGGCACGACATGATACATTTCCACTAGGTTTTTGACTGCCATTCAACCCCCACTTGTTGCATATAATACCCAGTCAGGGGTTAAGTTTTTTACAATTTTTAGAGAATCACTAACATTAACCGCTTAGCATAAAATTTATGAATCTATTTTTGAAAGGTTTGTATTTCATATTCAAAGGATCCTTAAATATCCCTGAATTCAGACGTCTGTTTATTGGTCTCCAGTTTCTAGCCTTTAGTAGATATCTGTACTCTCTTATATCTGATTATAAACTCTAGAATTATTCTTCAATAATATGTGGCTCAATTGGAAAATTTTAGGAAAGTATTGAAGGATTTTCTGTATGTTTCTTTGATTGAGCCAGTTGTTAGCCATGATGCGCCGGGAGGTTCCGACCATAGCACTAACGATCAGGATGTATTTTTAGAGCAAACTCTGTCCTTTTTTACAGGATTGAATCCTGGTTTACTTTAAATAATATTTTTTTAAAATAAATCATTCGTTAATCAATTTTTAGAATTTTTTTTATGTTAAAAATTATAAAAATTTATTTTTGTTTTAATCCACAACAATTTAGCGGAAAGTGAATTGAGGGAGCTGAGAGCAGAAATCAAACAGAAGAATTGGGATCTTGATACATTCATCTCCTGGTCTGTTACAGGATAGTAAACCACTTATACCAAATATGCAAATTGTCGTTTAATTTAAAAATTCTACTTTTTTGGATCTTCCTGTAACATAGAAAGTAAAACATGTCAAACATGTCAAATTTATTGCTGAGAAAAGATGTTTTAAGATTTTAATTTATATTTTTTGTGATCAAGAAATTTACAATTTTGTACAAACTCTACTATTTTGGTGTTATAAGAATAAAAATGTATAATAGTATTAAATAATAAAAATTATCTTTTTCAATTTAGAATTTAGTTTTGGGCACTCGGCTTTTACACTTTTTAAAGGCTCCACAGAAATACTACAGTGAAACCCTTAATAACGAATACATGGAAAGAATTCATCAAATGTCGTATTCTTCACTTTCTGATAATGGAATGTTGCAGATATTTAGTTTTTTAATTAAATGATTATATGGAACTCTTTAAAACTGTTCCCGCATATTCATGGCTATTTATTTATTTTCGCAAATACTGAAATTTACGTAATATAGTGCAGAGCGTCCCATATCATATTAGATTATCTCCAATCTTTAACGCCAAAATACGCACATAATACTCGAAAAATCTAGCATTTTCTGCAAAAAAAAATTTCGATTAGTTCTATTAAATTTTTCAAAATGATTCATTCTTTTTAAATTTTCTGATTTGTCCCCCGAATCGTATTTTAGACCAATTGACGCGGTCTAATTTAATATGGGACACCCTGTATAAAACTCATTGAAAAATTGTCAAGACGACATTTGATAAATTCTTCCGATGTATACGTTATTAAGGTTTTCACTGTACGAACTTGTAAAGACTCCAACATTTCAAGAGTGTATTTTGCCTTTAATAAACTATCTTATTCACAACTACTCAGCTTATTGTGGAACCTTTATAAAGTGCAAAAACGCTGAAGAGTTGCCTTGCTAACAAGTTATTAAGTTTACAAAATTCTTTTAAATTGTCAATCAATGTCCGGTTTATACAACGGTATCTTTGAAGCTTGATTGTTTCTATTCCAAAATGAATACTGAAATTCTATGAAAATTATTACTTAATGGTAAAATTTTGTATATTATATTTTATTATTAAAAAACTAGTAATTATTTTAAAATTTCCTGTTCCATATCATCATGTAGTGTTATGTTAATTCTATTAATTAAATCTAAGACCCTTTTGTAAAGTTAAATGCAGTTTCTTTCATATATACTGAAGGGTACATGAGTAAAAAAAAAATTATCGATGTTTTGGGAAATAATATCTAAATTTTTGTTTTGTTCGGATTTTAGGCATAAAATGGATAAATATGATAAAAAAAAATCAAAACGTTTTCGATCATTAAAAAAAATCCACAAAACCAAATTAAAAAAAAAATGACAGATATAAGTAAAATTATAATAGCCATCGATATCGAATTCAATTCTATATCAGTCCAATATAATCCAATAAACATAAGACACATTGAGTGTATGTATGAATTAATTTTACTTAATAATGCTAATTATAATGATACAGTTTTACTTTTTGCTTTGTAACAACATCAAATACATTTCAGTATTGCTATAATGTCGTCTTCCTACACCACAGTTTTTCTGGTTCTTAATGTACGTTAGACCTGATTGAAGGGTCAACATAAGATCAATTCTAAATATAATTACAGGGTTCTAAATAAAAATTGTACAGTTGTTGATCGTATTATATTAATTTTAATTGCGTTCTCTAACAAACTGTAAATCTTGCTCATAGTTTTTAGAATATAAAAGAACTGATTTCTTGTCACAAACTGTATTTCTTACTCCTAGGTTTTAGAATATAAAAGGACTGATTTCTTGTCACAAACTGTATATCTTGCTCATAGTTTTTAGAATATAAAAGAACTGATTTCTTGTCACAAACTGTATTTCTTACTCCTAGGTTTTAGAATATAAAAGAACTGATTTCTTGTCACAAACTGTATATCTTACTCATAGTTTTTAGAATATAAAAGAACTGATTTCTTGTCACAAAACAGAAAAAAATTGTTTTAATTTAATTGTAAACTGAAATTCAGTATCTTTAAAAAAAACGAGTTGTTTATGTCCAATTCTTTATAAGGTTTAAATACCACTCCTTAAACAAGCCGTCTTCCCCTCCCCCCGATTTACGCAAAAGTTCGTTTTATAGATCGACCCCCACCACTACTCTATACACATACATCTAAACAGTTTGTTTTTAACCTTTGTGACAGAAACAATCTCAAGGAATAATAATTGTCTTAAAACATTTTTTTTAAACTTCTTTTTTTCCATTTCAAAATCTGAGTTCGTTTCCCTTATGTCCATTTGATAGCCCAAATTTTTATTTTGAATAATCTTTTTTGTTTGTTTATTTTCTTGTGATTTTTACAAAAAAAATTTTAATTTTTTTTTTCGCTTTTGATGGTTATTATATCGTTAGAACTGACGAGGATCAACCCAGACCGAAATATATTTTCAATAAATGTGGAACCACCATATACTTGTTTTACTCTTCAGAGGTTTGGTCCATCACCATCACCGAATTTTATATTTAAGTACCTACATCTTCTAAACCCGATTTTGAGAACCTAGATATTTCAGGCCATGGACGCTGTAACAAAATCAAATAATCTAAACTTGAAATATTTAAGTTTTACACCATCCGGTTGCAAATATGAAGGGATTAGGAAAAACGAGTTTGTGGCAAAGACTCAATTTCTTAAAAATAATAAAAGTGATAAAGCGAAGCCTTCTACCAACTGTGTAATTAATATTTTCATTATATTATCATCCTTTGTGGTCTGATCCTATTCAAACTTATCCAACAATGCACTTGGTATTCATTCTTTTCTCTAATAATAAACCAGGGGTTGGATATTTTATTGAAAAATTATTTTTGCCCCTTAGAAGTCAGGTATTTTTAGGGTTATATAACATTTTGGGTTAAAATGTATGAAAAGATTGGAAAACACTTTTTTTTCATTCTTTTTCCTCAGGTCTTCAAAAATCATTGCCTCTTACAAATAATTACAAATATACTAGCTCCTGTAAAAAGGTGTTCTGCTTAAAATAGATAAAAGAACAAGGAAGGAAAATTCCAGAGAAGAAAAAAGTTTTAATTAGTTAGAACTACGTTGAAGGGTTCTAACAAATCAAGTGGGCCATGATCAAATGAATTTAATACGAACCTTGTGTCTGTTTTAAAATACAATGTCGCCATTTTATTTACAAAAACTTTAGAGAGTCAATCAGAACTTCTGTTTTGTAAATCTCGAAATAATCATCAACTTGTGCAGATTTATGGATCAATTTCATTCCTTTTTGATATCCCATGGTGATCATACCCTGTAGGAATAACCAACGACTGTAGAATAGCATAATAAAGGGCATTAGGAATGTATCCGAATAGTGTGTACACTCTGTACACTTTTATATGACGTCATTGGCTGCAGTATTGGTTTTTAATTCAAACAATCAACATTAAAACTCTAGTTGATCTAGTTATCAAATAAATTAATCATTGTAGGTGCTAAAAATGGTGGGAAAATAACGGCACGGTTATAAACTTCGGAATTTGTTTTAGTCAGTTATTGAATAGGATGCTCTCCTGCTAAAATAATGCTAAAATTAGATTTTGTTACGCATCTCATTTGTATGAAAAATACCACATATTTTAAAACAAAATTAGATGTCATGAAGTATAGTTTGTAATTGTCTAAAGCAGACTTTTAGGCCAGTAACGTGAGCAAGGCCCGAAAAAACCTTGGTTTTAGGTAGCCAAATTTTATTTTAACAAATTACATTGCAATCTGTTTTAAGATGAAGTTTATCTAAAAAGATAATAAATTTAAAGATTTGCTCAAATGTACACGCATTGGCTATCGAGAGCAAGCATTCAAGGAGGAGAGAAGGCAAGCCACACCCGGATAGCCTCGGTCCCACAATCACAATCATAGACTTGCGGCAAAGCGCTTCCTGAGCCGCACCCATATAGGCATTAATTTTTAATGCCTTATTTCAGTCATAAATTACTAATAAACTCTCCTTTGGCAACGTCATGTGACGAGAATTGATACGAAATATATTTGTATTTTTAAATACAAAAATTTGATCGCACTTAGATGAATTTAACCCTAATTTCCGAAGTTTTCTGCGAAGATTAAACTTATCCTCAAAAACCAGTTTAGAGAAGATTAACATCAGCTAAAATGTATGAAATATTGTGGTTAATCAGGAAATTGCAAAACCTTACATTTCTTACCAAGAAAGTTCATTGCACACAGTGGAAACCAAATTTACATGAAAAATGAATCCCTGTTCAGGAAGATGATCGCCTTTATAGTTTCATAACGTAACATAGCCAACAAGAACATTTCTTATAAATAGTAATTGTTATTTTTTTGTTAAATCGAGTCTTTAAATACGGTTATTGCGGAATGAAAGCTAATATGGGTAAGAGCAACCGCGTAACTCTTGATTTACACTTAAACACTGTTATGATCAAAATTTTAACAACTTTTGGTCAAAGGAGCTAGGATGTTTAATTAATTATATTACCAAAAAAACATGAGAAATAAGTATAGGTTATAATAGATGTCTTAAAATCTTAAATTAACGTTGCATTCAAAAGTAATAACGTTTTGACGGAATATATATGGGTTCGTCTAAAGAAGCGCTCCGGGTGAGCGCTTTGCCGTCAGTCTATGTTTGTGAGTAAATTGTGGGATGGAGGCTATACGGGTAAGGCTTGCCTTCCCCCCCCCCCCTCGTTCAAGATTACTGATACTTCTCAAAAAAGTGCCGACCTAAAGACATTTTTTTACACAGATTATGACGTATCAATCAGAACTTCAGAAAGCTTTTATAAAATTGTTAAGCAAAAGAGAAATAATTGAAGAAAGTTTCGCTGAAAAAGAGCAAAATATTTGTGGATTCAAACTTTGTAAAAAGTTTGATCTTCAAATAAGATCTACAAGAAAAGTTTTTGATTAAAAAGGAAATGTAAAAATAAATTATATATGGAGTTTAAAATTTTAATTAAAAAGTTGCCATAATTAAAAACTAGAAACCAAGACCGTGTACACAGAACTTTGCTCAGGTAGGGGGGGGGGGAGTTGGGCTTAAACTTGTTTTTCTCTCCATAGGGCTTCATCTCCTTCATCAAATCCAGGGAAAGGGATATGAACCCCTCCCCCCCCCATGTATACACCTAGCTGCCAGAAGCAATGAAAAATTTTACGTTTATGAAATAATGGGGTGTTGGGTCACAAGGAGTAAGAGTGTCGTGGGAGAGGGAGTAGGATGGGGGGTAGTGATGAGGGGGGGGATTCATGTTTATATGAAGAAAGTACCGCGATCCTATTCAGTTTATATAAACGCGTTTATTTACATAAAGTTTGAGGGTAAATATAGAACATTTAGAACAGAAAAAAATGTGAATAAAATGGAGACATAGATAAATAAAATAATGGCGAATATAAATAGATCTAAATTTTCTTTGCGCATTTTTAAGTTTGATTAACAGTTTACCGATAACCCAGGAATGGACAGGATGAATTACTTTTTCATCTTTATTCTTCATTTTCACCTTTCTGTATCGCAACCTGGATATTATCTCAGGTAGAAAAAAATCATAACAATTGTAGTTTCCAGAGGCCGAATTTAAAGAAAGCCGCGGCTCAAATATGGTTGGTTTCACTTAAAATTGTATTTTTTTTTAAATTTCAATTGAAACCGGCTCTTAGCGGATTTGAGACGCGGCTCAAATTCATTAAATTCGGACACGGGCCATTTTTATGGTAGCATCACTGACTCATTTTACATTTAATGGTAACTGAAAAATGTTTTTTTTGGGGGGTGGGGGGGGTATTTTTGGGTTTTCTTTTGGATTATGTATTCTATATGAAGTGTAAGAAACGTAAAACCTAGGATGACTATTTTAAGAAAGTAATAGAAAGAGTCAGAAGATTATAAATTTTGTATGGGGGTATTTGGATTTTGATGAGCCATCTGTGAGCCAAGAAGAACCGCGGGAGCTGCCGACTATGGCAATGGTATTGTTCGAGCCAATTCTGTCCTCATGGAAATGTATCTTGTTATCGTATTGGTAGAACAACAATTTTTCAATAGCCTCTGTTAAAATGGACATCAAACGAATGATACAAATTTTGCGCCTCAATACGATTCCCGCGATGACTCACTGCATGTAAACCATTAGTTGTACATTTTCTCAAAGGCTAATTTATTGATGATTAAATTAAAACATATTTTTTATGATTTAAACCCATTTCTAAGAAAGTTCGGCAAACATTTTCAAAATTGAACAAAACGTTTTCGCGCATGGAAATTAGAAACCCTATCTCGGAGTCTGTTAATTCAGTTTGAAATGTATACATTGTATGCTGTATAACAAAAATTAAATCAACAAAAGAATTTAATTAGATATTAAGTTGTATTTGCACAGTGCATTTGGTCGGATTTGATTTAAATTCTAAGTTATTTAATTTGAATTTCTCGCTAAATTTAACGTTTAAATTTTGAGTAACTTGATACGTAAAGCATGCATACAGTACACTACATTGTATATATACCAAGAAAGTTTTATGATCAAAGTATTGGAAATTAATGTCCCAAAACAGCACCTGTAATTTATTCCATATTTTTTTCTTTTTTCGACTGAAAGCACTTGTTTTGTACTTTATCAAGTCATAACATTAAAGTAATAATATAAAGCTTTAAAAGTCGTCATTAAAGTATTTTCCCGTGTGGGTAACCCAGTATATTTGGTTGTTGTTGTACTGCATATTTGTTTACTAACTGTATGGTCACTGGTTGCTGTTGTACTGCATATTTGTTTACTAACTGTATGGTCACTGGTTGCTGTTGTACTGCAACTGCATATTTGTTTACTAACTGTATGGTCACTGGTTGCTGTTGTACTGCATATTTGTTTACTAACTGTATGGTCTCTGGTTGCTATTGTACTGCATATTAGTTTACTAACTGTATGGTCTCTGGTTGCTGTTGTACTGAATATTTGTTTACTAACTGTATGGTCTTTGGTTGCTGTTGTACTGCATATTTGTTTACTAACTGTATGGTCACTGGTTGCTGTTGTCTGTTATACACAACGCTGAGATACAAGAATGAGAATTTAATTGACGACCAAAATATTTTATTTCTAAAGGTTAACTTTGGTATTTGGTATTAAATATGGTATTTTGTAGCTATGCTATAATTATTTGGCAACGAAAGCAAAAAGTTTAAATCTATAGAATACGATAAATTTAGAATAAGCACATAATAAATTCCAAACAGTCGCCTCGGAATCTAAAGTTAGGGGGGGGGGGTCCTAGCCCCCATATCCCCCCCTTGTATACGCCTCTTTCGGATCTCATATATTTTGTTGGTAACCTTGTACAATTTGTACACAAAAAATGTAAATTTTTTATACGATTCTATTTCTAATTTAGATTTACTGCATTCAGAATTGTTAATTGTCAACCTACTTAATTCCGCAGTATTATTCAATTAAACACAATATCACAATTTACCCAATTTTGTTTAAATTTCAATTTATTGATAAAACCAAAATTTTCTATCTGAACTCAATTATTTACATTATTAGCCCAGCGGATCGTCATTAATTCGCAAAATCTAATCTGATAAAATATTTATTATACAGGGTATCCCAATAATATGGAAATTCTGTGGCAAATTTTATATTGTCTTTGATCCATGCGGCATTTTTTCATTGACACAATTATTGCAGTATTCCAGCTTAACCATCTAATATCGAAAACGCCTGGTCTTGAGATTTTCAAGATAAGTTCTATCATCTTTGTATCTTTAAAATTGACGCAGGGGCGGATACAGGATTCAAGTGAGGGGGGGCAAGATTTTTTAGGAACAAAAAAATGAAAAATTAGGAAGAAAAAATCGTGCCGCAGGCGAAAATTTTATTTTACTTAAAAGACTCAAAAACAGTCAAAATTAATGACCAAAGACTAAAAACCCATATTTATAAATTTTAGGAACAAAATTAAAGGATTAGAACAGGAATTTAGGAACAATTAAAAGATTGTTCAGGAATTAGGAACAAAATCAAAGGATTCGGACAGGGATTTAGGAACAATAAAAAGATTGTTCAGGAATTAGGAACAAAAGTAAAGGATTAGAACAGGAATTTAGGAACAATAAAATGATTGTTCAGGAATTAGGAACAAAAATAAAGGATTAGGACAGGAATTTAGGAACAATTAAAAGATTGTTCAGGAATTAGGAACAAAAATAAAGGATTAGGACAGGGATTTAGGAACAATTAAAAGATTGTTCAGGAATTAGGAACAAAATTAAAGGATTCGGACAGGGATTTAGGAACTATAAAAAGATTGTTCAGGAATTAGGAACAAAAGTAAAGGATTAGGACAGGAATTTAGGAACAATAAAAAGATTGTTGAGGAATTAGGAACAAAAATAAAGGATTAGGACAGGGATTTAGGAACAATAAACAGATTGTTCAGGAATTAGGAACAAAAATATAGGATTAGGACAGGGATTTAATGTGGGTCGGACACAGGAACAGGAACAATAATAGGAACATAAGCAATTTAAGAACAAAAAGAAATTACTAGTTATACTTAAATGCATGAAAATTAGGAACAATATTACAATTTTGATAAATGAGTATTGATTAAGGAACATTACTAGATATGAACAATATTATAACTTAAGTCTAGTTCTTACAAATTTCTAATTATAAATTTATCGTTAACAATAACATTTAACAAATTGGGAACATTTTTTGCCTCGAAATCTCATGGGGGGGGGGCTACGCCCCTCCCTGAATGTGTCAGGGGGGGGGGCGAATGTCTCAAAGCCACCCCCCCCCCTTGTATCCGCCCCTGAATTGACAGGGATATTGCGAAATTTGTACATATTTTAATTTATTTATTAAATCAAAATTGTCTATATATATTTAATATCTTTGTCAATTTTTAAGTTACAAGAAAATTAGACCACTTTTTGAAAAGCTCGTCTGACGTAAGCCTCGTTTATTTACTTTATTTGCTGTGCATTAAATATCAGAAACAATGACGACTTTCAAGTCGTCTCTTAATTCCCATGTTTATTGGGACACCCTGTACTACAATTTTTTCGGTTACGTACAAGACACAAGAATCCATTTATTTAATTATAGTTATCACCTTCAACCTTATCCAAATACTTGAACAATCCCTTTTTATTAATTTATTGTATTTGTTTCAGGCTATTTGATATTCCAGATCTGTGCCCATTCATGTCTTTTTCTTATCCATGGAGTCAGCAAATTAGGTTAGAAAAGGAAAAAATGAAAAATAAAATGTTTAACAATGTTTGTATTTTGAATATTTGCATAGTTTTTAGAGTTCAGAAAATATACTTAAGCGACATTTTAAGTGTCTCTTTATCTGATATTGAGGAAGATATTGTCGTTTTTCTATGTTTAAATTTTAATTCTAATAATTCCTTAATGTATTCTTGCAGTATAAAGAGAAGCGCAAGTGTCACTTTTGTAGGGAACCCACAATCATAATCGGTTTTTAAAATTATAAACATTGATATCTAATTCGATTGATCTGAAAAAGTTTTTTTTGGTAAGTCGGGCATTGACATTCTTGCATGGATGGGTCACTTAAAATTACGCCTACAGTTCGATCCTGTACTGCAGTAAGAGGCAAAACACTAATATATAAATACTAAAACTGAAAAGAAAGTAAGCATAGTTCGTTAAAGAATTATTATTGAATAATTTGATATTTGATACATAATCAGAATTAGGGTTTCCATTCGCAGTAAGTTTTATTTAATTTAAACAAAGTCTGATCAGTTTTTAAAAAAAATTGGGAACAAACAAGTTTTCCGCCCAATTGTCTAACAATTCATTTGTTGAAAAGATCAAAATTTACAAAGTCTAGGCTTTTAGCCTCATATTTCAACTTTTAACTATTGTGACTCGATATGTTTTCTTTAATTATACAATATTAAACAATAACAAAAAATGTTTTGAATTTTCAAAATTTTACGAAAATCTAAATTTTTTGGAGACAAATCTTTGCCATTTTAAGCATCCATAATTCTTTCCTGAGATCATATGAGTTGCCTCAAAAGTGTTGGACCCGATCGTTCCAACCGTTTTGAAGTTATTGGATACAAACAAGCACCCGGAAAAGCAGAGTATTAGAAAGATAATTCCGAAATGTTTTTAATGTGTTTTCAGAAACCCCCCCCCCCATTCCTTTTCCTTCTTCTCCGTTCTTTGTAAATGTTTTCATGGAAACTTTTAAAACTCTCGTAATAACAATCTTGAGAAGGACATTTCTTTTTAACAATGGTTTCCTTTTAACATTTAACTGATCAGCGAGGACAGAGAGTTCAGTTCACATATCTCTTAAATGCTGTGAAAAAGCGGCAAAACTGGAGTGAATGCACTCAACACGGAAAATCGAAAATTCAGTTTTCAAACTTTTTATTGCGAATATTTATAAATTCCAATTCTAGAAAGTATATATTTGTATTCCTAAAATATAGATCGAACAGCTTGAAAACTTAAGCGTTTCTGTTATAGATAAATAAGAAAAAGTCTGCCATCCTTATTCAGTCAAAGATTTAAAGGGTACCATTGTGAATCGGGGTTCCCCTCTTTTAATGAAAAGTCACTTGAAATGTCGCGTACAGTCCCTTTAATCCTTGAAATGTCGCGTACGGTCCCTTTAATCCTTGAAAATATTTCCTTTAGAGAGTTGAACATTGTTAAATACAAGGATTTTTCTCTCAGCATCAAGGATTTTACTCGCAGAAAACTTCAAAATAATAAAAGGTATTTTTTAGGTTTTACCATTTTTTGTTGTTGTTGATTTGTTAATTTCGTTCTGTTTTGATGGCAAATAATCGAGTTTCTATAGTCCTACATATGTATACCAAGGCACTTTTGAAGAAGGATATATTAGGTGTCTAAAAGTAACGTGTAAATTTGGTATTTTTAAATTAAGTACTTGAGAAATATTTTTCTTCTTAATTTTAAATTGTCCAATCCATAAAGATAACACTAGCTTTTAACAACACCTTAGGTCATTAGGTTAAACAAATCTATTGCAATTATATCATGGGAATTTAAATATTCATAGAAAGATGTCAAACTTTATTTAGGTTAAAAACTAAACCTCTTCTGCTTTTAAGTAACTCTAACCTTCGAAGCTTTACAATTGAAATAAATAGCAAATTATTTGTCCTACCTCTGATTGAAGTGCCAAGAACTCCAGATAATTTGCGGAATATCTGAAAATGCGCGTAAAACAGTGAGAACAAAATTTTAGAGCATTGTAAACTTTAATTCGAGTGGACCTACATTTTTCTATTTACAAAAATTCAATAGTAGTCAGATTTTTGCAGAAAAAAAATAGTTTTATCTTCAAGGATTGGACAATTAAAAAGAAAATATTAGGACATGGCTCGGATGAGAAATTTGTGTGGCTGGCCTTCCTCCCCTCCTCTACCCAACACCCACTTGCTTTAATAACTTTATATTAGTTTTGAATGTTCCTGTACTTTAGTGACCGTGCTGACTATATCAAGAAATTTCCAAACTTGAAAAATAACCAAAAAGTTCACATCGGACCTAGCAGTGTAAGATATCAGACTGTTGTAATAGGTACCTCTTTTTTATTTAAACTTTTAAATCAGAAAATACTGTTCTGTATTTTGTCCTTAAAGGGACTGTATAGACTTAATTTCAAGTAACCCATCATGTTTGATTCACAACGATACCCTTCAAATCTTTGATTTTTGTCTTTAAAAAACTGATTACTTTGATAAATGGGGTTTCTTTAAAAGTTACTTGAGCCTTTCGTGCTAAAAAACTATAGAAAAAATCTTTTTTCGCGAGAACAACGACGATATATCTTCCACTTTGCACAGTATTGATCTGATTAAGATTTCAAGGGTACCGTCAGGAATCTGGCATATCCCGTTTTTTGGTTTTATTGTAGGATCACTTGAAATTATTCAACTCGTTGAAATTATTTAATAATGATTCCTGTCTACAGGAAGTAAAATTGTGAATTAGAAAAATATTTTTAAAATGACAAAATTATATTACTTTAGGTTGGAAGGGTTGGAAGGTGACCGTAACAGCTGCGGGGGCAAGTCTTAACAATACTGATGCAATGATTGTTAACAAAACAGGAATTCGATATTTTTCTGTTGAGAATTTATTTTAATTTTTAGTATATTGTACAGGGTTGTCCTACGTAGCAAGACGAATTGAAGGTCGTCTTTGACGAATACATCGGAAGAATTTATTAAAATGTCGTCTTGACAATTTTCCAATGAGTTTTATACTATATATTACGTAAATTTCAGTATTTGCGAAAATAAATAAATAGCCATGAATATGCGGGAACAGTTTAAAGAGTTCCATATAATCATTTAATTAAAAAAACTAAATATCTGCAACATTCCATTATCAGAAAGTGAAGAATACGACATTTGATGAATTCTTTCGATGTATGACTCATTTATAGGGTTTAACTGTATTATGTATTTTTGACTGACAATGAATGAGAATGTTAAGATAGGGCTATAAAAATTAAGGCCGGATTTAGCCAAAAAACATGGGAATTCAGTGACGAATTCGATATCGTCTTAGTTATGAATTAGCATTGTAATACCTAATTTCAAAAGCCATAATAGTATTATGTCTGCTAGAGTTTATTTTATGAAAAGGGTAAAAGACTGCAAAGATGTGTCTATAATGTCTCCGCAAGATGAACAGTGAAGACGGACAAGTTTACTCTGTTTGTATACTGCAATTTTCTTGTTTTGCTAAGTACACCCGTATGCAGTTAAAACATAAACAAACAAAACGTGAACATAGCAGACGAAACTCTTACAGATTACAGCTTTCTCAGTAGGTATCACTATACTAAATCAAAGAATTGTTTGAAAAGACGATGTCGAATTCGTCACTGAATTCCCATGTTTATTGGGACACCCTGTAGATAAGGCTGGCCAATATTTCATTGACAAACGACAAGTTTTTGGAAATCCCTGGAAGACTCCATTAACGAACGGCACAAAAAATGAACTAACAAAAAGTTAATGAAAAAAGAAAATAAAAAGAAAGAAAAAAAGTACTTTGAAAAATAACCTAGTGACCTTCGTTAATTTTCTGTTTAGAATTTTATAAAACTGCCAGGATATAGAATGGTAAATTTTAAGAAAGAACGAAAATACAATTAACGAACGTATTATTCAGTTTCTTAGCTAAAAACAAACTGCTACCTGAGAAGTTGGTAACGATAAGCTATTTTAACTAGCTAACCGTTATCGAATTGCTTGAAAAAATTCTTTTTAAAGATTGTTCTGAAAAGTTCCTCTGAAAAATGTCATTATTAAAGATTGTTCTGAGCATAGATTAATAACAATACAGATAGGATTCTAGATGTCGTCTTTTCAAGATTTAGATATTTGTCGTTCAAAATAAACCTGAGGCAGAAGCCCAAAGGAGTTACGCCAATGCTCTCTCTCTGTCTTGTAATTCAACGCTGCCTGCGCGTTGCCTCAGGGTTATTGTCAACGGAAAACCCTTGAAAAGAGGACATCTAGTGTTTTTTCTGTATTGTAATTAATCTTTGGTTATAAGATTAAACACACTTAATCAGAATAAAATTTTTAAAATAAATATAATAGAGAATTCATGTTATTTGTTTAAGAAAAATTAATGTCGCGTTGTCTAATGAATAATGAATGTATTTGAATAAAGATAGTTATGAAAGTTCATGAAGTAGATTAAAGATTAATTTAAAGATTAATCGTTGATCGGGGATGATTTTGAAGATAAATATCATTGCTTAAAGATGATTTTGAAGATAAATGTCGTTGATTAGAGATCATAGCATGGGGTTCTATTATTACAAGAACGAAGAGAACATACAGTATAGATGAACCTTTGTAAGTTTTTATTAAATCTACACATTATCGATTAACATTAATTATCATTCACGGCCACTTTCGTTTTTTTTAAATTAGGGGTTTTCCCAACAAACACGAGAATTTAGTCTGAACTGTCAACGATCTATTCGGCATTCTCCCTTAAAGTGACTGTTAGCATTATTCCAAGTGACCCTCCAAAACAATGTCAGATTCTCCCTTAAAAGCTTTATCTGATCAAGTATGAATTGGATATCAATGTTAATAATATTGAAAATTATTTTTTTTTCAATTGTGGTTTCTTTACGAAAGTGACTTCCGCATTTCTTGCGGGAAATCATGTAAGAATTGCAAGATTTTTACGCTTTAAAACCTTGAAAAACGACAATATCTTCAACAATATTGATCAGAGAAAGGTTTCAATGTATCGGAAATTGCCATTTTTGTTATAGGGTCACTTGAAATTAAGCTTACAGTCCCTTTAATTCATTTAACTGATTTCCCTGATTTCTAAAATGCAGTTTCCCGTATTTTTTTCAGTTTGATTTATTAAAATATTTGTCCCGGTTTAACATTTCTTAAGAATTGCCTAACATTTGGAGGGATTCATACTTCATAAATTATCAAAGATTACAGACAATTTTAATGTCTTCACTTAATTACCATCTTGATAAGTACACTTGTACGGGCGTCCCATGTTTTTGGCCAATTGATGCTAATCAAAACCTTGAAAGTTCGAATTATTTCGCCATAAACTAAATTCTTCAAATATTGTCTGGTTAATCTGTTTGTTTATAGGAAGACATCAGAAGAACAAATTCTTTTTCAAGATTTGGATTTGGATATAAAAATCAGGTAGATATAGATGTATCTATGTATTTATATGCAAAGTAGTAAGCTCTGTCTTTGTATGTAATGCATGTAATGTATGCATTTTAATTCCGTCATAAAACATGGTGAATTTCACTAGAAATCATTCAAAATCTTAAACTTGCAGGGTTTATAAAATGTTTTTTTTTTGCTTTAAGAGATAGATAAAATACTTCACCTCAAAAAAATAGAAAATCGTACAGTACTTTTCCAAAACAACATTTGCAAAACTATTTAAAAAGAAAGGATAATCCTGCAAAAAGTTTACAGAACACAGTCAGAAAGAATTTCCGGATGCTTAAGTTGAAATTTTCCCACTCACCTCAGATTGTTTAAACCACACAACAATGTCCATGGGTTTCCCCCGAGTTCCCCAATCAAAATTTGAGACAAATCGGTTAAGGAGTTAGGATCGGACAAACAATAAACAAACAGACAGACACTCTAACAGAGATTACAACTTTATAAACCTATAGAGATATAAAGTATAAAATCTCTGTTTGTTTGTTTAGATGTTTTCTCTGAAAGCCAAAAAACAAGGCCATGAGGAAATGTATATTTTTAAAAAGAAGTACGGTACGAATACGATTTTCTTTCTTTTTTTGGGGGGGATTCTTGATCTATTTCTTAACCTAATGAAAAAAAGCAGTTTATAAAAAACACCCTGTTTACATACAATTAATACAAATAATATAGCAAATATTTTTACAAAATGATTTTATTAATTTCCTACTTCAGAATTCTTATAACAGATGAACAGTTCTCAGTTCAAGAAGCCAAGGAAAGATAAAAACATTATTTTTTAAAAATTTTACTGACAATTTTATAATCTTTGGGGCAAAACGTTGCTTAGTTAATTCGTTTTTTCGATGCAAATTAGTTCTATTTTACCCTGGATTAATTATTTGATGGTTTTGTGGATCTCAAGGGACAAGAATGCAAAACATTAATTAGTTAAAACTTTACCATTCCAGCCAGAAATGGTAAACATTTTTTTACAGAAGTATTGGACGAAATTCATATCTATTACATTATTGGGGCTTCTTTCTGAGATAACTTGCTCAACAGATGTTTTTTAGATGAAAATGAATCTGAATGGTTGGTTCCATAGTTTATTCTAAATTATCCATTTTTCATATTTTGCATAAAACAAAAAGAATATCTTTTAAAGAAAGAAATGCCAAAACCTTGGATTGAAATAATTCATTTCCCCTTCCATATAGAAACTGGAGAAATCCTAAAGGAAAGTGTACTCTCACCAACATTGGATAAAAGTGAAAACAAAACTGAAATATTAGCTAATAGTGAAATTGAACCAGAATCTACTGAAAAGGAAAGTGTACTCTCACCAACATTGGATAAAAGTGAAAACAAAACTGAAATATTAGCTAAGAGTGAAATTGAACCAGAATCTACTGAAAAAAAAGAGTCTACCCTAATGAAAGAAATTGACACTGAAACTCTGAAAGATGATTCTGAATGTGTAAACGACGGACAAGAATATAATCTTGAAACTCTGAAAGAGGATTCTGAATATGTAAACGACGGACAAGAATATAATATTGAAACTCTGAAAGAGGATTCTGAATCTGTAAACGACGGACAAGAAAATAATCTTGAAACTCTGAAAGAGGATTCTGAATATAGAAATTACACGGAAGAATATAATCTGATTGAATCGGATTTGAACAGAATTAATTTAGGAAATCCTAGGGTTTTCAAAATCTAATCAAAATCATAATAATATCTTTCAAAGGAAAAAGAAATCAGAATTTGATTAAAACCAGATGAATATATTTTAACTAAAGAATATCTTCTTAATCCCTCCCTCCCTTCCCCACCATTCTCTCTCCATCTCCCTAGCTTTCCCTTCTTTTCCCGTCATATCCCTTCCTTTCCCTTCATTTCTCCTTTCTTTCTCCTTCTTTTTCTTTACTTTCCCCTTCCTTTCCGTTTCCTTTCCACTCCCTGTCCCCTCATTTTCCTCTCCTTTCCCTCCCTTTTCCCTTTCTTTCACCTCACTTTCGCCTCCTTTTCCCTACTTTTTCCATCCCTTTTCGCATCCTTGTAACTCCTTGTGCCCTATTTATTTCTCCTTTCCTCCCTTTCCCCTTCCTTTCCCCTCCCTTTTCCCTCCCTTTCCCCTCCCTCTCTGTTCCTCTCCCTTTGCCCTCCCTTCTCTTTCCCTCATCCGTTATTCTCCCTTCACTATCCCTTATCCTCCCTCTAATACATTTTATCCTCCCTCCATTATCCCTTATCCTCCCTCCATTATCCCTTATCCTCCCTCTACTCCTCCCTCCATTATCCCTTATCCTCCCTCCATTATCCTTTATCCTCTCTCTACTCCTCCCTCCATTATCCCTTATCCTCCCTCTACTCCTCCCTCCATTATCCCTTATCCTCCCTCCATTATCCCTTATCCTGCCTCTACTCCTCCCTCCATTATCCTTTATCCTCCCTCCATTATCCCTTATCCTCCCTCTTCTCCTCCCTCCATTATCCCTTATCCTCCCTCCACTATCCCTTATCCTCCCTCTAATACATTTTATCCTCCCTCCATTATCCCTTATCCTCCCTCCATTATCCCGTATCCCTTATCCTCCCTCCATTATCCCTTATCCTCCCTCTGCTATCCTTTATCCTCCCTCTAATACCTTTTATCCTCCCTCCATTATTCCTCAATCTCCCTCTACTACCCCTTATCCTCCCTCTTCTATCCCTAAACTTATCAAAATCAATTTACTTTCATGCTATTTTTATGCAAGTTTCTTTCATTCAAAAATCAGAAATGTTAGAAAATATATTAGCTAACATTCTTTAAAATTATTCTGAGTAAGAACGCCATTTAACAATCTGTAAACTCTTGAAATAAGAAAATCTAATACTAAATTAGAACTAAGATTCAGTGGTTTGTTGGTAGACACACAATTACTTCAAGGACTTAGGTAAATAAATTTCAAATACAGGGTTACTCACAAAGGATAAAACTTCAGAGACGACTGTACGGAATTTATATTGCCTGTTTCCTTATAATTTTGTTTCCCAGGATTTAAAACTTTTTTTTTAGATTTTAACGAGTAAATTCAAGGCATAAGACTTAATTTAACCCTGGAATCATTATGTTTAAGGAGTTTCAGGTCGTCTTTACAGTCTCATCCTTTGGGATTATCCCTGTACTTTCGACCTATAAATTATTTTTTTATTTCTGTAATGAAGAAAAACCAGCCTAAAGGGGCTGCCATTGTACCTTCAAGTAACCTTCCATTTGGAAAAAGAGATTGGCATGTTGGATTCACGACGGTATCTTACAAACCTTTATCTGACCAATAAAATGGAAGATATCTTCATTTTTATGCTTGAAAATAATAAATTTTTAAAGAGTAGATGATGGAATTATAAACATGAATATCAGATTTATTCTTAATCAGACGTTTATGGGTACTGTTCTGAATCGGGTCTGCCATCTTTGCATATTGGGTCATTTAAAGTTAAGTTTACAGTTCCTTTAATATTTGTTGGGATTGTTTGAAAACGAAAGTTAATTTCAAAAATAAAATTATATCTCTCGTTCCATCTGCGTAGATAACAATAAAACAATAAACTATATTTATAAAGAAAAGAGAGGAATAATTTGCAGATTTTGTTATGAAAAGATTAATATTTTTTTTTTCAGAATGCTTGGAGAGAATTGTAAAACATTTAAATGCATTAAGGAACTGCAGAAGAGAATTGCAATTATAATTCTGAAATAAATTTTCTTTAAATACAACTACATTGCAGGGGCGCAGCTAGACATTCAGCAAGGAGAGGGCAAAGGGCAAATATTTCGTGCGTAGCGGCAACATTTTTTGCCCCCCTTAAACATTTCTATTGGGGGGGGGGGGGGGCAAGAAAAATGTGTATTATACCCAACCATGAAAAAAACAATCTTACAAAATCAGGATATTTTGGGGGACAATTTAAAATTTTTGGGGCATTCATTCAGTTTGGGGCTATATTTAAGGGGCAAATTCATTTTTTAGGGGCAATTTTTTAGCTTGGGGAAATCTTAAATCTTTTCTTTTGGGGGTAATTTTAGTTTTGTGGGGCTATTTTCAGTTTTGTCAATTTATGTATGGGAATGGGAAATCTTAAATTTTTATTTTTTTTTGTTGGGGGGGGGGGGAGGCTAAGAAAAATCTAACTATGTCGATATTGCCCAGTTGTTGGATTTTTGAAATTGTGAAAATTTGTTGATCTAGAGCCCCACACAACTATTATATAGTTTTGGAGGACTCTGGAAAGTTTCCTCTAAAAAGTCCGATTTTTGCATTTGCATCTTATTCAATTATTAACCGATTTGTTGGGGCCCATACCTACATATTTTGATATAAAATATTTTTGCTTGAACTAGTGATTTATTATTTACAAAAACGTGATGCGCTGCATGAATTTGAAAGTGAGAAAAAAAAATTTAAAATTTTTGTCTTGCTTATTTATAAAAGAACACGTGCTAAATATTTTTATCAAAGAGTGCCAAATTGTCCTATTGTCAAATAAAAATATCATAAAAAAATTAAATCCCATGAATTTTATCTTTTTTTTACTTACCCCGATTAAGCAATATACATGGTTACCCGGACATAATGACACTGTAAAGACGACCTAAAACTCTTGAAATATGACGATTCCAAGTAACCTTTATTAAAGTCTTTTAATGGCTGAAAGAATGAATGAAACAAGTTTACAGTCGCAAGAAAACATGAAGATATAAACTCCATAGAGTCGTTGCTGAAGTCTCATCCTTTATGGGTAACCCTGTATCATAACTTAGATCCAAAATGATTACGCTCTTGTTTCTTGAAGCGTTTGAACACTTTTTTAATTATCTTTTTTCTGCTCGTTTTTAAGAGGCTTGTTTGTGGGGTAGAAGGACATTGCTGTAGATATATTCTAGGAAAACAAAGTCAGTTTTATTGTTTTAACTTGACTCTTTTTCAACCTTTGATATTTCAAACTTTTATAACAGAATTTATAGCTGAAAATATCTAAGGTCTACAACATCGGGTTTCGAAGGGATTAGAAAATCAGAGTTTGTGGCATGGACATAATTCATTTCTTGTTCATTAAAAAAGCTATAAAGCGATTTAAATTTTGTTTTTATTAAACAAATGTTTCTGTAGTGTAAATTGAAAAAAAAGTAACATTGTAAACCTTTGGAAATCCAAGTTTTTTTTCTTGACTTTTGTATTTACATATAGGGCACAGCGTTCTATTTTTTGACCAGTATCCCAAGGTACTTTATATTCAAAATTGTTTAACAAGTTTTTTTTTCTTCATTTTCATTATTTGCTTTGTAAATTTTAAAAAATTCGACAAAATTATATTTTTTTTGTTGTGTTTGAATCTTTAAATAGGATTGATGTTTGTCCTGTGTCCTGTATTATGTATTGTGTATCCTGTATTCTATAATCTGTATCTTGTATTCTGTATCCTGTATTCAATAATATCTCTGGTTCTGTATCCTGTATTCAATATTCTGTACAGGAGTATACTGAAAACTTTGTTACGTTTTCAAGGCGATATCCTTGTCCTGGCAATATACCATATAGTTCAGGTAGTTTTAGATAGAAAACTTTATAAATGCAGGGGCCATTAGTTCCAAAACTAAAACTTGGCCCATTTCTAGCACTAACAGACTGGGTTTTTAGGATCCCAGCCCATATCGAAAGTAAAAGTCAATAATAAAAACTGTAACCAACATTTTATTAAGCATGCCAAGGACAACAATTCGCAATTTAAAACTATTTTTTGGAATCAAAATTATAAAAGGAGTTCTTTTTAAATCAAAACCCTTGACCGCTTTCAAGACAATTTTGAACATATCCTGAATTTGAATCAGTGTCTCGTTTCCGAGACAAACCCCACTTTCCCGTTTTTGAGTATAATCCTTAATTCAAAACAAAACCCACTTTCATAATTTACAAAATAATTCAGTGAATGTAAAAATTATCTTATTATTAAAAATTATTTCTAAAATTTTCTAATTTCCCTATTTTGTTTGACTAGCCTTAGAGGGCGCTTCGCGCCCATCTTCTAAATTAATTTTGAACATGTTCTCTTTGTGTACATCGTAATGTAACAATGTGTGATTTTTTACGATCTTTTACGATCTTTTACGATCAGCGGTTCAAGGATTTTTTAGATCGCTGAGATCATAGCTACCGAGGGGTATCATGTCCCCCCCCCCTTTACCCTTCGGTTGGACTTTTGAATCCTATTTTGAATCCTAACGGATTTATTTGAGTTTGCATGTGGATTCTATAAATAACCCAAGCCACGCGGAAAACCGAAGCCAAGCTGAAAGTTCCGTTATTCCAGAGGCCCGGGTGCTGGGGGGATAGCAGGCCAGCTCCCGGGGAACTAGGGTTAAGCTCTAGCCTAGGGTGGAGCGAAATCTAGGGAAAAGAGTTAGTTGAAGATCAGCTCCAGAGTTGTAACCATCCCCTGAAGATCTCTCATCACTCTGTTCCATTCTCAATTCATAATATTTGATTCGTATAGTATTTTTGTATCTTTGTAAATAATAATAAACTGTAAGAAAAACCGACTCGTCGAATATTCAATCAAATGAGTAGTTGCATTGATTTATTTATTCACTTTTCTTTCATATGTAACAGTAAAACAAAACAAAAACAATTCGCAGATTTTCACAAAAAAATTCGTGGATTTTCAAAATTTTCAAAAATTTAATGAAGATCGAATTTTGATGGAGACAAATATTTGAAATTTTGATCATTCATAAACCTTCCCTGTGGTCACGTGATGTCCCACAAAAAATTTGGGCCCGATCGGTTCAGCCGTTTTGACGTTTATTGGATACAAACAGACAGACAGACAGACACCCAAACAGACAGACAAGCCAAATTTATATATAGATTAATAAGAGAATAAAGTTGATATAATTTCCCGCATTCTAAATAAACAATTTTTCCCGGATTTCTAGTTAAATCGTTATTGTACATTGTAAGAACAAGATAATATTAAAATTTTAGTTTCTCGATGCTAAAATGATTTTAAATTATAAAAAAACAGTATTTTTTGTTTTATATTTTGTTTATATTTTACCTTATCAAAAAATGTTGTTTTGTTCCTAAGTGCTGAAATGCTTGAAAATTGACATTGATATGAATTCTAGTAATTGTCTCAAAACGAGGATATGTTCCGAAAACGCGACATGAGCTGACATGCGGTAGTTTTTTCAAAATTGGGATATGTTCGAAAATGAAAACCAATATCATTAAAAACTAATTCTTACAACTTTTCAGAATTGGCCCTTTTCTAACTCTCAGTGTTAGAAATGGGCCAGTTAGTGTTGGAACTAATACCCCCTGAAATGAGGATAAATATCAAGGAATAAATTGAACTAATTGGATAAAAAAAAAAAAAGGTTTGGGATGGATAAGATATGACTACTACTCTAGGGTGTCCCAAAGGATGGATAAGATATGAATAATACTCTAGGGTGTTCCAAAGGATGGATAAGATATGACTACTACTCTAGGGTGTTTCAAAGGATGTGTAAGATATGACTACTACTCTAGGGTGTCCGAAAGGATGGATAAGATATGACTACTACTCTAGGGTGTTCCAAAGGATGTATAAAATATGACTCCTACTCTAGGGTGACCCAAAGGATGTATAAAATATGACTACAATTCTCTTGGGTGTCCCAAAGGATGGATAAGATATTACTACTACTCGATGGTGTCCCAAAGGATGAATACGATATGACTACTACTCTAGGGTGTCCCAAAGGATGGATAAGATATGCCTACTAATCTAGGGTGTCCCAAAGGATGGATAAGATATGACTACTACTCTAGGGTGTCCCAAAGGATGGATAAGATATGACTACTACTCTAGGGTGTCCGAAAGGATGTGTAAGATATTACTACTACTCTAGGGTGTCCCAAAGGATGGATAAGATATGACTACTATTGCTACTGGATTGGACACTGGGAGTTAGACTGGAAGGAAACTTCCAGGGTTTGCAGGGTAGGAACAAATACATTTTATTATACAGTGATAACCAGAAAACTCTGGAATAAGAAGACGACTTTAAGACTCAATTTAAGCTTATAAATAGTCCTTAAACATGAGACACATCAATTTTGAAGTGCAAACAGACCCATTTCACTAAATAATTTGAATTTCAAACTACTGCTAAAACTATGTGCTTTGTAACAACATCAAATACACTGAATTATAATACTAATATCACTTACCTATTCAACAGTTTTCTGGTTCTCACTGTTTCACAAATTATGAAACCACAAAAGCAGATTTTATATGAGATGTAGATAATTATATGACATATAATTTTAAAATTGCCAGTTAATTACTTTGATCAGTATCGCCCGTGGTGTGCAGGGTGACCCAATAATCATGGGAATTAAAAGACGACTTGAACATCTTCTTTCCAATAAATAATAAGTATAAAAAATATTGTACATGTCTTTTGAGTTTTCCAAAATGTGGTCTCACTTCTTTATCTTTAGAGTTGAACGATTCAGTTTTTTTAAAAAAATTTTATTAGGCCAAATTTCTCAATATCTTCATCAATTTTAAAGGTGTAGAAATGGTAGACAACATTTTCGAAATCCCAATACTAATTCAGTTTTTGGTGTTATATATGTTAACGTTAGCGTTAATGCGTAATAATGCCACCCTTAAGAAAGACGATATACAGGGTTACCCACAGAGAATGAGACTGTAACGACGACCCAAAACAGAAAAAAATATGACGATTTGAAGCTTGCTTTTTGGTTTTTGCATTTAATTAAGTATTTTTATGGTTTAATAATTGGTTAAGCACAAACATAAGGAATCCTGAATGTAAGAAAACGGAATAAACAAATTCCGTACAGTCGTCTCTGAAATCTTATCCTTTGTGGATAACCCTGTTGAAGTCGTCACTAAATTTCTAATTTTATCGGGAAACTCTGTAGTATCATACAGTAAAAACCAGAAAGCTGTGGAATAAGAAGACGTCATGAAAGCACTCTTTAAGTGTTTTTGATGTTAAAAAGCAAATCATTTAAAATACCTTACTGCGTGAAATGGGTCTGTATACTGCACGTAATTGCTGTATCTAATAGATCTAGACTACGGAGCATGATCTTTTAGATCTCCTGGAACATGATCTTTAGATCTCATGGATTATGATCTTCTAGATCTAATGTTAATCTATATTAAGGATGAATACTCTGAGGTTCCTATACTGCTAGATTCTACGGAGCATGATCTACTAGAGCACATAGGTTAGGAACTGAACAAACGAATATGCAAATATTCTTTAAAAAAAGTTATTTCGTCAACTTCTGGATTTTCTTATCCTTAATGAAATAACAACTTAAATTATACTAAATACTAATAATAAATAAAAATGTTTTGCAACTGTATGATGGTGCTTGTCAAATAAAAAAAACAGGATGAAAACATTAATCATCGTTAATCTTGACTACTTGATCTCGATAACCAACGTGGGCATTGTTAAATTTTAAAATAAATGCTTGATCCCTTCATTCTATATATCCCTGTGTTGAGTATCTTTTATCTTGAAGGCTTGATCTCAATATCCACTGTGGGCACTTTTAAATTCAAGGATCAACGCTTTAGCCCTTCATTTTAGTATCCCTGCTGCAGGGTTCAACCACTAAGGGATAAAGAATTGTAAACAAATCCATAGATCTGCATAGGATGGAGATCAATGCTTGATCCCAAGATTCACAATACAAAAGTTCTAACTTCTGAACACTTATATATTATATCAGTTTTTTAAAGATAAAGCAAAGACGACTTTCTTTACATAATTGATTTGAGGAGTGAACACGAGTGTTTGGATCGGACGGGATCAGACAAGATCCAACTGTAACGTCCTCAGTACCGGTAATACATTTTTATTTCTATTTCATATCTCTTTTATTCTTCAAATATAATACAAGTTTTAAAAGGGTCCCTTCAAAGGAACTTTAAGCTTAAATTCAAGTGACCCTTTATGCAAAGATGGCAATGTTATATTCACAACGGTACCCTTGAAACCTTTATCTGATCAATAATGTGGAAGATATATTGTCGTTTTTCTATGTTTAAAAGTGTTTTATTGTAATAATTTCATTTTAAAGAGAAACAAGAATTGAAAAGAATCAATTTTTAAAATTAATATCATTGATATAAACTTGATCAGACAAAGCTTTTAATGGTACAGTTGTGAATCGGGCATTGCCATTTTTGCACAGGGTGTCATTTAAAATTACACTTACAGTCCCTTTAAAGTGTTTAATCAGTGTTAAAGATGTTCTCTGTAGATAAAAAATTTAAGAAGTTTTACAATTTTAACCAAACTCACAAGCAAGTTATAGGAAATCTTTCCTATTTTAAAAACATTTTTTTTTCTATTCATCATAATTATAACGCAAAATAGGCGGATAAATAAAAATGTCCTATAATATAAAAACATAAATTCATTGATATACATAATAACAAAAATACAGAGAGATTTAAATGCGGAAACCAACATTTCTTTCTGGTTTTCTTGTATTTCTATCCAAAACAATGGTTCCCTCCACCTGACAAAAATGGAAACATAAAATCGACTATAGATAGCAAAGATGTCGGGAAAATAATTCAGGACTTTTAATGTTCGACATCGGTATGTCGGAGACTAAATGTTCATTTTTGGAGGGCTGTAGATATTTATAGTTAAATATTTTTATACAGGGTAACCCAAAAAAGATGAGACTAAAGACGACCCAAAACTAAACAAATATGAAAATTTAATTCTTGATTTTTGGTTTTGATGTTTACTAAATAATTAAGCACAATAAACCTGTCTTGGCCTACAAGGAACCTTAAATGCAAGAGAACTGACTAAACAAATTCCGTACAATCGTTTCTTAGTCTCATCCTTTTTAGAGAAACCTGTATATTAACGTTTTAATAAACATATTTGCAGACGGTAAAATTCAAGAAGTGAAGTGCACTAGTAAACACCATTTTCTCTGTAAAAAGGTTAGAAAAAACAAGAATCCATTCTTAAATGCAAAAGTTGATATTATTGAAAACGACATTTTAATTTGCAGTTATTTTCAGATTGGTTGCTTGTATAAAAGTTGCTGTAAGCTCACTATTAAAGAGGCAAATCCACTATTGTTTCATGATATCAAAGTGAAAACTGAACATTTCAAATTTATTTTTAAAATTTTCAAAATATTCTGGATTTGAGTTTAGTATGAAGTTTGGGAGAGACAAGTGCTTGGTATTTCTGTTATACTTCGGCCTAGAATCATCCTTACAATGGTCGAAGGTACAGAAATCATACAGGATGTCTCAAGAAACTTGACTGTAGAAAAACGAAATAACTGACGTCTTTGATTTTTGAAATTATTAATACTAACATTTTCTAAATGTAGACTTTTTGTGGTGTCAATATTACCAGAGATATATAGGATTTTTTTCAGAATTTCAATTTATTAATTAAAACCAATCAATTGTAGAATTCTGGACAAATTTTTTAACTCTGGTAATATTGAAACCACAAGAAAGGAAGACTCGGAGAATTTTACGATTTTTAACTCTAGATTTATACTACTAAATATCAAAGACAATTATGTCTTTTAATTAAAAAGTTCAATTTGATGAAATTTAGATGAAAATGAGATATTACTGATTATTGCATACAGCCTTCTGTTAGTTACAATTGGGTTTGTAATCACCTACAGGTTAAATATTTATTTAAACTATTAATTATTTTCTTTTTGTTAATTTTTAAATTGTTATCAAAAATGTAAGAAGAAAATTTAGTAAAAAAGTTTTCAACTTTGATCTTTTCATTGATCATATTTGAAAGTTTTTACTTCAAGATGTTAAAGAAACAGTAAAAGCAATTTTAAGTGGCCTCCATTGAGAGAGCGGTATGATCAATTTACAACTCTTAAAAGCTTTGTTTGATCAAGTAAGAATTATAAATCCATGTTTTTGTAAAATACATTTATTTTTGGTTTCTTTACAAAAGTGACTTGCGCATTTCTTTCTTCAGAAACAATGAAGAAATTATTAGAGGTAACACTTTTCAACCCGTAACTACCACGTTTTCTTTAACATCAGACATTCATCTTTTTTTAATGAAAGGTCATTTGAAATTACACCGACAGTACCTTTAATACTACGATAATTGGTGTCCTATTCACCGTCAAATATTAAGTGAGAACATTCAGTAGACTTTTTGTGTCATGTGGTGTGTTTGGACGTCGATTTTTCATTGAAAATTCATTTTTATTATTATTTAGTCTTATTTTCATGTTTTCAGAATTGTGCGGAGAAAGCTGGACAATAACGCCTACCGAAACCAAATACCGTAAAAGTTAAAACTAAATTTTTAGTTGAAATAAAAAAAAACTTATAAAATGAATAAGCCTTTGTCACAATCTCTGATCTGTCTAATCCCTCCATCTTTGAAACCCAAATTCGTAGACCTAAGATTCTTCAAACTACAAAAACTGTTTGACAAAAAGTCTCAAAGACTTTATTACTTTCTCATAATTTTCCTGCTTTCTTTATAAAATTAATAAATGGTTCTTACAAGTTCACAACTATAAAAACTGTTTTTTTTTCTCATTTCTTATTTTGGACTTTTTCGTTGAGTTGTGTAAAAGGTCTAAAAGATTAATAAGGAACTTTTATAACATTAAACATAATGTGTCCGAGTTTATAAATAAATATCAAACTGTTTGAACATTCTTTTAAAACTTTGTATAGATCAAGAATCCAAGGGACACTCTTTGAAAATCTGCCGCAAACTCTGAGGAATTGGGTGTTTGTAGTAAAACATTGGGAATGTGTTGTAAAGAATTGGGAATGTGTTTTGAATAATTGTGAATGTATAGTAAATAATTGGGAATGTATAGTAATAATTATAAATATATGGTAAATAATTGTGAATGTATAGTAAATAACTGTGAATGTATAGTAAATAATTGTGAATGTATAGTAAATAATTGAGATTGTTTAGTGAATAATTAGGAATGTGTAGTAAATAATTGGGAATGTGTTGTAAAGAATTCAAATGTATAGTAAATAATTGGGAATATGCTGTAAAGAATTCAAATGTATAGTAAAGAATTAGGAATGTGTAGTAAAGAATTGAGAATGTGTAGTAAAGAATTGGGAATGTGTAGTAAAGAATTAGGAATGTTTAGTAAAGAATTGGAAATGTTTAGTAAAGAATTAGGAATGTGTAGTAAATAAATGTGTTGTAAAGAATTCAAATGTATAGTAAATAATTGGGAATATGCTGTAAAGAATTCAAATGTATAGTAAAGAATTAGGAATGTGTAGTAAAAATTGGTAATGTGTAGTAAAGACTAAGGAATGTGTAGTAAAGAATTAGGAATGTGTAGTAAAGAATTGGTAATGTGTAGTAAAGAATAAGGAATGTGTAGTAAAGAATTGGGAATGTTTAATAAAGAATTGGTAATGTGTAGTAAAGAATAAGGAATGTGTAGTAAAGAATGAGGAATGTGTAGTAAAGAATTGGGAATGTTTAATAAAGAATTGGGAACGTGTTGTAAAGAATTAAGGAAGTAGAACATCTTTGTTGATTTATATCGTGATTGAAACCATGTTACTATTTTCAAATGCATTCTAATTTGTTCTAAAGACTCGCCAAGGTCTGCTTCCAGTATAATAATAATAATAATAATAATGATTTGAGAATATTATCAATACAATGATTGCCTTTAAACAATAATAATGCAAAAAATAACAATGCAAAACGATGAGTTGAAAATAAATTGCAGAACCCCTTAGACTAGATGACGACCATAGTGATTCATAAATAATTCATTCTTCTAAACCCGATGATATATAAATATATTTCAGTTTTTAAATTCACATTCATATTCATATTTTTATTCAACTACAAAGCACGAGATAATACAAATAACAAATCACAATTACTTAGTTTGGTTGTTTGTTTTGATTGGTTGGCCCATTTTAAGCGAATACGAATTGTAAATAAATAGATGGATGCACACTGTTCACATGTACAAATTTTATTAAAAAAATTTTACTATATATATATGTATGTATATATGTATATGTATATATAATTTCCTGTATTGATTAATTGGACGAAAACGTAAAGATGGAGTTTATGGTACTCAAATAAGGGGGTTTAATTAATTCCAAACCAATTTTGGAAAATGGTTCAGAAATTTTTTTGTGATACTGAATAAAAAAATGTCCCTCTAAACATGAAAATTTAAAGACTATCAAGTATAATGTCAAATATGTATAAAGTGAATTTTAAATTAGGTGTTGATGATTTAAACCTCATTCTTTTTAAGAATTATATTTTGGTCTGGGTGACCCTCTGCAGTTCTTGATAAAATATCAAAATCATATGCATAAAGTGCTTCATGACTCAGGTGGACCTAGGGCTGGGCCTGTTCCTACTTTAAACCTTGAAAACTTTACACCTTGAATACCTTACATCTGATACCTTTATATACAGTGAATACCTTACATCTAAATCCTTGATATACAGGGAATACCTTACATCTAAATCCTTGATATACAGTGATACCTTACATCTAAACCTTGATAAACAGTGAATACCTTACATCTATAACCTTGATAAACAGTGAATACCTTACATCTATAACCTTGATATACAGTGAATACCTTACATCTAAACCTTGATATACAGTGAATACCTTACATCTAAATCATTGATATACAGTGAATACCTTACATCTAATACCTTGATATAAAATGAATACCTTACATTTAAAACCTTGATATACAAGGAATACTTTACATATAAAACCTTGATATATACAGGGAATACTTTACATATAAAACCTTGATATACAGTGAATACCTTACATCTAAACCTTGATATACAGTGAATACCTTACATCTAAATCCTTGATATATACAGGGAATACTTTACATCTAAATCCTTGATATACAGTGAATACCTTACATCTAAATCCTTGATATACAGTGAATACCTTACATCTAAATCCTTGATATACAGTGAATACCTTACATCTAAATCCTTGATATACAGGGAATACCTTACATCTAAATCCTTGATATACAGGGAATACCTTACATCTAATACCTTGATATACAATGAATACCTGTTTATCATTTACCCATTGTTATTAGTTCCGGTTGAAATCATGGTCTTTGGTTTGGTACAGTTATACTCAGTTTATACTCTTATACTTTGGGTTTCCCACACTTCTCAGAGATAGAAACTTTTGACTCAATTCAGACAATACCAAACTCAGTTTCGACATTCCAGCTTTGAAAATTATGTGAGACATATTTGATAGATAATAAAGAGAAGAGAATAAAATTTCTTCTTAGGAAATAAATTTACCAAGTTTTAGGTTTTTTTATGAATCTGAAAATTTTCAACAACAAAGGAATTAAGTCTTTGCCACAATTTTGACTTTTTAATCCTTATTTTTTGTGAAACCCGATGTTGTGATCTCTTAGAAATTTCAAACTTTTAATTCTTGCTGGATCAAATAATCTAATTTTTAAATTTTAAAGGTTTAAACAGTCAGGTTGCAAAGAAATAGGGATTAGAAACTTTGAGATTGTAGCCAAGACTCCATTCCATTACTTAAAATATTTTTTTTCCGTTCTAAGATTCGATGTAAAGAAACTGAATCTTATCCTTCAGAAAATGTATATTCAATATTCATATTTTTCTTATTTTATTCCAGCATTTAGCTATTTTTCAGATAATTACTATCTTTACAATGTTTTTACAGGGTGTCCCATTAAACACGGGTATGTAATAAATGTGACGACTTTTAATCATTAATCTATCATTTATACATAGTAATTCGCTTAAAACAGTATATCCGATGCACATGCATAATTTTTTTTACTTCTATTTCACTTTAGTTTAATTGTTCGTTCCCGTACTTATTGGGCCACTCTGCAGACAAAACTCTAACTTATTTGCACCGGAGCACTTTTCCATTCACTTCTTAGTAAAAAAATAACAGAGCACTGGCGCGTTTAAGTCTTCCTAGATTTCTTTTTGTTCAGATGTCAAACAATTAATTTCCAATTAAGATTCTATAAAGAATCTATTATCTATTCTGTTATAATGGATTCCGCGTGTCAATTTAGATTTATAAAAGACAATGGCGCTACGATTAATAATTTTGGTGGAATTAGATATTTGTATCCGTTCATTTGTATCTATTATATGCTAGTTATCAGGAGCTGTAATGTGTTAAACAACAACAAAAATGCGTAAACATATAATGAGACATACTCCAAAAATTATAAAAATCTATAAAACTAGGCTTTTAGAGCGCTTCGCGCCCATCTTTTTTTCCAGTTTTAATTGTGGCTTTATCTGTGAGCAAATTCTCTTTGTACAATTTTCTTTATTTTGCCGTGAGTAAGTAATATTAGTGCAGTTCTGCATTCGAATATGCTATACCTCGCATTCGAAGATACTAACCTGAAAAAGACGACCTTTTAATAGTCCAAATTCCAATGATTGTTCAAGTTAAACATGCTCATTCTGGAATCAGAAATTGATAAATAAAAAGTGCATACAAGTGATAATTCTGATAAATTCTACATTGTTTCTGAAGAAAAAAATACTCAAGTCACGTTTACAGAGAAAACACAAAATAAAATAAACAGTGTTTACAAAGAAAAACATGGATATCTAATTCATTCTTGATTACACAAAGGTTTAGAGGGTACCGTTCGGAATCGAACAAACCACTCAGTCAGTCACTTCAAATTACGTTTGCAGTCCCTTTCATCACTCAGAGTTTACTCATGCATCACTCAGAGTTTACTCATGCATCACTTAGAGTTTACTCATGCATCACTCAGAGTTTACTTATGCATCACTCAGAGTTTACTAATGCATCACTTAGAGTTTACTAATGCATCACTCAGAGTTTACTCATGCATACCTAAATGATGGATTCAGAAACTAATAAATTGTCTTGACAAAGGAATTGACTCTTTGCAACAAACTCTGATTTTCTATCCCTATATCTTTGGATTCCAACGTCGTAAACCTTCGAAATTTCAAACTATGACTTTTGTTAGATCAAAAAATATAAGTTTGAAATATCAAAGGTTTACGAAATAGGGTTCCAAAGATATTGGGATTAGAAAATCAGAGTTTGTGGCAAAGAGTCAATTCCTTTGCGAACCTTTGAAACTTCGAAGGAAAATTAACTACACCAGTAATATGAAATAAACTGTGTAAGACTCAAATCTTGAAAAAATCTTGGCAATGACTCAATTTTATCACCGGTAGAAAGACAATCTACTTGATGTTTTTGAATAAAATTTTTAATTTTTTATTATTATCATTTTTGGAGTAAATCGGTAAATATATTTTAATTATTCTTTGCTGTTTGAAAACTTACAGCTCTTCGTTTATTAAGAAATAATATAGAATTCGTTAAACTTTTAAATAATAATTTTTATTGTCGTTACAGATAATAAGATCTAAAGTTTATGTTGAAACATCATTTATTTTTATAAAAAATATTTCCCAAATGTATTTCTTGGTTGATGAAACAGTCCCCGCCATCCCCGCACCCTTGTAATTTATTCAAGTCTTGAATTATATTTGTTAGAGATGTTGCCTATCTAGCATCTCTCTGTACTTTAAATACTAATTAGAATCCTCACTATAATTGTAAATCCTGTCTTCATTTTAC